TAAAAAATGTTGTTACTACGATAAGATCCATGCGGATCATTAATTTTTGTATCAAATTGAGTTAAAGATTAAAAATAAACAAATTTTCAATTCGAAACATCTCTATTTGGTTCATCATATTTTTACTTACATATTTGTATATAAATTTAAATAATAATATATAGTAATAGTTAAAATATATATTCATTAACTCTAGTGGATTAGACTATAGTAGTTAGATTACTGTGGCTACTTCTAAGTAAAAAAAAAATGTAATTTGATGTGAATAGGTTTTATATGTACTACTCCTTACATCCAAGCATAATATTACACAGGAGTTCACAAATTGTTCTAGATTTAGAAAAATATATATATCTATTGAGTCTCATATGTTTTGAATCACGGCTACTCTCAAATTTTGAGATTTAAAATTTACTTCTCCACAATCCATTCACATATTTGTTTTTTTTGAAACTTTTGACAATCTTACTTCAATTTCCAATGTTGTCACAAATTGCAGAAGAAAAAAGTATTATCATGAAAAAATTAGTGTTTTATTCCATACAAACATTAGAAATGAAGACAAAGATTGTGATATAATTTCATTGGACTGATATAATAAAAATATCATAGATCAGAAAAATTAAGTGTGGATCTATGATTCAAAATATTGGATGAAATGAATAAGTAATAAAACATTACACTTCTTTTGAGATGAATTTTTTTGCAATATATATAATGATTTTTCATAATGTTTGAAATACAACACTTCATATGTCTGACTAATTTATGTTGTGAATGACAATGAATATTTGAATATGAAAAAACATCCAGTTAAATGATGTCATAGTTAATAATCATTATGATCATGCTTGTAGTGATTATGATTATTAAGATCAACAGTGAATAAAATTAAAATAGATTCACATGTAAATAATTAGATGTAGTTCACATTCACTTCATTCCCTTGACCTAGCAATAACATGATGTCATTGTGCAAACTTGATTTTTACAAAAGTTTGATCTATGTGGACTTCAGTGTGATGTGCGTAAAATTGGCAATACTAGTGTTTGGATTTATATATGTTCAAATAGTATAAGATTGGCATGATAATATGGGATTATGTACAACAGAAATATATATTCTATGTTTATTTGTCTTGTTGTACAAACAAATTGTAAGGAAAAGTTCTGGATGAAATCATCAAAGTATTCAGCTATTCTAAACTTGCTTGGATCTTCGATCATAAAATGCTTTAAATTTATAATTTCTCCCTATATATTTGATATTCACATCATAGTGATCAGAAAAAATACAATAGGAGTCATATCAAATTTTTAATTCAAGCTAATGAATCTGTTTTTTTTTAGTTTTGCAGGTAATTGCAACCTCCTATGCAATATACTGGTTGATGAAGAAGATTTTTTTTGTTAGGAGATTTAGTGGACTGGTGAAATAGATGATTGTTAATGTAGAATCCAACAAATTCTAGCTTGACCTTACAGAAATTCGACTGGAATTTAACATATCTGCTGAATTAGCATTCACATGTTTTGATGTCCACGCAGAAATGTCTAAACTCAAACCTTACCGTCGGGTACTGTTCGTGACTTAACATAGGACGTGGGAGACAAAAGGAGCTAATATGTCTGAACTCAAACCTTCACTTCAGGGCTGAATGTCGGAGAACATGCGGGAATTGGGAGAAATGTCTAAACTCAAACCTTACCGTCGGGTACTGTTTGTGACTTAACATAGGACGTGGGAGACAAAAGGAGCTAATATGTCTGAACTCAAACCTTCACTTCAGGGCTGAATGTCGGAGAACATGCGGAAATTGGGATGTAAAAGGGGCATTCCGAGAATTGAACTCGGGACCTCTTGCACCCTAAGCAAGAATCATACCACTAGACCAAATGCCCTGATTGTCTACAAAAAGTAAGAAACAAACAATAATAGTTATTTTTTACACTGAATGTGAACTGTTCCAAACACTACATTTTCTTGCCTTTCGGGCCAGAAGACGATTTATATTATCATCATCAATAGTTATTTAGTACTTGAGAGTTTCGTCTATTGAGATATTAGATTAAAAATTCTGGAATTTTCATTTTTTGAATCTATATTTTATATATATATATATATAATCCAAAAATTAATTTAGATCATAAATGATATTATATGTCTAAATAAATTTATCATTAAATTATTGTGTAGTTTTGTATCTACTAAGTATTATATTTTATATCATTTAAGGAAAAAATTTAAACTACTTTATAAATACATATATCTTCATTTTCATTTCAAAGATTACCACCCAATATCTTCAATTAATGTATGATGTTTATTTTTCAATCCGATTTAAAACCTTAAGGTTGACACAAAGCAATTATTTTGTGTGATTGATAGAGTATAAATGATTTTATTTTCATTTTATCATTCAATTCATTAGACATAGTTTCATAAAATTCAATTTACTAAATTTTGCAATTTCAATTTCAATATTTTATATTAAATTTATATCAATATTTCTTTCTGTTATTTTACATATTGAATTTGATATTATTTACTGTCTAAGAATCATCCCAAAAAACACAATCATGTCAATTTAATAATTTTTTAAACTTATTGAAACAAAATATATATATATATATAATAAATTGAAAAAAGTTTCAACATTACAATCCATTTCATTACTAATGAACTGATAAATAAATCCAACATGCACGTTGCTTAGTGAAGTATAGTTAATAACTAACAAATTCATTCATTACATAATATGCATACAGAAATCACTTGATTCATATCTTCAAATTTTATGTAACAAGCAGAAAGTTAGTTATTAAAAACAAATCAATCTTAATTTCACAAGTATAGAGATAATTGTCAACTAATAGATTAAATTTTTATCTTACAAACATATAGATATTTTTTAACTAAAAAATTCAATCTTTATTTAATAAATATGAAAATATTTTTCAACTACACATTTAATCTTTATCTAATAATTAAATATTAATATTATTTATATTAAATGTAATATATATATAATAAAAATATAAGAATTTTTTATTGATTACACATTAAATTTTTTGAATATAATTATTAATAATGTTACTTTCTTTTGTTAATCATGTATATTTTAAATAAAATTGTTAATTCCATGTATCAAGGTTAGTTTTGCATATGTTTTGACTTCACTTCATCTTGACAAGTATTGTTAAAGATGAACTGAAGTCAAAACTATTTGTTGAGCTTACTCATCAACAAATAGTTTGGACACAATATGTGAATTTAAATTTAAACGCATTTGTTGTTGATCATTCTAAAAGTTAATCATATGTATTATGATTTTAAAAGATTAATAAGATTGATAACATAAAATATAATCTTTTAATATACATGTTTTATGAAAAGTAACATCTTGATATACAAAATTTTTCAATCTCTTTACCTTCGTGCTTATCATAATTATATTAAGTTTCCCACTCAATTAATACTTGGTGACTTGTTAAATTTCTTTTCCTGATAGAACAATTAAATCTAGTACACAAAAATCCCTTTTGAGTATGTATCTCATAAAAAAAATTTACATAAAAAAGTAGACAACTTTTACAATAAACAGAAATTCATGTTTTCCTACAACTCTGAGCTAAAGATTTTCCTCACACAGTGATTAGTGGATTCTAACCTCAAGTCAGCTCAAGGTCTTTATCATATATTGAAGAGAGCTCAAAACTTCTAAATATTCTGAATCTGTGAGCGGTGTAAAAGGAATGACCTTAAATCCAGAAATTGATAATGAAGGAATTGTTACATTTGGTAGTGACACAGCTATTAAAGATGTTGTTTTTAATTTGATAACTCAATATCATTTGTGTACCAAATGCCTTTTCCGAGAAGAGTAAGTCGAATACAAAGATTTTGAGTAGCTCTTCAAGCTGCCACGTGTACTTCCACTGACACGGTCATATTGTGACTTTGAACGGAGAGAAAACGTCCCTGGACCTCATGTCAGCCATAAGGAATTCACTATTCACATTGCACTCAGACCAAAGCTCTGTCTTGAGTGGACAATAAGAATAATTGCTGACTTGCAAGTAATTATCATAGATTTATCAATAAGCACCAAAAAAACAGCATCTTTCTGGTGAATAGTTTGAACCTTGCGCAAGATAGACATGAAACGAATCAGACGGAAAAAGATATGTAAAGACATACGTCAAACTCCGGCCGTGGATCTTCTGTAGTTTGTTGGAATTTTGGCTGGATTATTCCCTCGATCAAAGGACGTGATCACAATAAGACCAATCTGTGTGTTAGCCATTTGAGTTGTACTTTCGTCGGGAAATGCAACTTTCGGAACTTAAGGAAAGGCGTGCACAGCCGAATATCTCTTGACTCGGTCAACCCTTACAATCGACTACATCAGAAAAGCTCAAGGCCAGTACTGTGGCTCTCACCTACCCGTTGCGCAACAAATGCCGTCGGAATCCTCGAGGTTCCTGTCCTGATAGTTCCCCCAAAGCTCTGAGTTTGTACTCAGAGCTTGATCAATTCCTCCCCCTGAAGACAAAAGGGGCCGTAGGACTCGAGTTCCGTGACTTTAGGAGTTCACTATCGTGACCTGGGTACGACAACTTTCACACATAGACAACGTGAACAGCACATTCTGAGCTAGAGAGGAGTTTTAAAGCCTAGTCCATTGCAATTTCATGCTAGGTAATCACAAACTTTTTCCTGTTCAATTAACCAGCTTCCAGCTTCCTTTACCAGGTACTGACGACGATCTAACCAGGATCGAGTATGCTGTTGAATAAGTTGTTGGTTAACATACCTACCGATAGAACGTGGCTGTAGCGTGCGGATGCAACCGTTATGTACAGCGCAATATGGCCTCGACATCAGGGACTGATGATCAAGGACGAAGGACCCATTACTGCGCAGGAGATGACGTTGGACAGAAGTCCCGAGGGAGAAAGCACAAGAGGTTGTAAGGAGAAGAGGCCAACCCACACATGGAAAACGACTGCAGTTTATATATGGGCGTGAGTACAAAGTATGTACACATCATGTGCTCATAGAAGCCTCTATATGTATATATCCTCACACAAGAACTAAAGCACAAGAGAACTACTCTCCTCGTCACTAAAATCAGATCCTGCCGTCCCATTTACATGCGGTTGAAGCAAACAAAGCTGAATGAGCACTGGGTTGCTGCGAGGGAGAAAATTTAGTGGGTGCTGATTCTTTTTTATATTTAACACCCTGAGTCTTTGGACAGGCTTCCATTAGCATCTGCACAACATCGCGCATGGTAGGTCTGTGAGACGGTGAATAATTTGTACAAAGAAGGCCGACTTTCAGAACCAACATCATATCCTCCTGCGCGGAAGCTCTAATTTTCCCATCGAGGACTTCCAAGGCTCCTGCTTTAGTTTCAATCTTCTTGGTCACCCACTTCACGATATCCCCATCTCCAAACTCGGGTTCGAGAGGCTTCCTCCCGGTTACGAGCTCCAAAAGAACGACGCCGAAGCTATACGTGTCGCTCTTTTCCGTCACCTTCAAAGTGTATCCATACTCTGCCAGAAATCCAAAGAAAAAGATAAGTCACTACGCTCGACTACGACACATGGCTCTCGCAGATGAAGCACATTACAGTGGATACCCAGGAGCTGATAACCAACCACTGTCAATGAATGACACCGACACCGTATCCCAAGGATATGATAGCATGTGAAGCAGTGATTAGTGGACTTCCTACTTGAGTGTCGGGCTAGATTTTAGTAAATCTTCACAAAACATCTACGAACAAATTGGTACAGCTTGCCACCACAAATAACTGTAACCGATGTATAAACTTGCCCGTGATTTTTATGTTGCGAATAATTTGGAATAAAATTAAGACTTATCCCCACGACCTGCAAACGTCTTTCGGCTGGCTATCACTCATGAAGCGTTCAACAAGAGAAGGTCTTGAACAATCGGCAATCATGCCTGGGTAGTCACTATGAGATGGCATGCGTGAGAGAGGTTTAATATGACAGAATGATATGCCAAAGTACTTACCGGGAGCTATGTAGCCAAACGACCCTGCTACGGCAGACATAGATTCCAGCTTCTCAGGTGTCACCTCCAACAATTTCGCCAGGCCGAAATCGGCCACGTGAGCCTCGAAGTTGAGATCCAACAATATGTTGTTTGATTTGACGTCCCGATGCACGATATGCGGTACACAATCGTGATGCAAGTACGCAAGACCTTCAGCCGCTCCGACAGCTATCTTGTATCGAGTGGGCCAATCCAAAATGGAAGAAGTCTTCGGACTATGCAAAATATCCCCGACACTGCCATTCGGCATATACTCATACACCAAGAGATTGGACTTCTGATTTGTGCAGCAGCACAGCAGCTTGACGATGTTCCGATGCCTGATTTTCCCGAGAGTTTCAACTTCGGCTTTGAACCCATTGTCATGCCTAGCCTCGCCTTTGGGTGAAGTCCAGAGCTTCTTCACAGCCACGGCCTGCCCATCGCTAAGCGTGACTTTGTAGACCTTCCCTGATCCCCCACTTCCGAGAACATTGTCTTCATCCAAGCTCTCCATCACCTCCTCCTCGGTGAAACTCACTTTCTGAAATGAAGTGAGGCTCCATGTCAGATCTGGATCCTTGTTGTTCCAGTATTGATAAGCTGTGCGGTACTTTCTCCAGAAGAGACACGCCCCGACAAGCAGAATGGTCAAGGCCGCACCAAATGTTCCGATCACGACCCACGCGACCCCAGCAGAAGACGTAGATTTCTTGACCCTGCTCCCACCACATCCCGCGCTGGACAAACATAGCGCAGGGTTTCCATCGAAACTTGATTCGAGCGGCGATTCCGCGAAGGGTTCGGGAAGGACCCCAGAAAGGTTGTTGTAGGAGAAGTTGTAATCAGACAAATGGAGCTCGCCTAGTTCGGGAGGAACAGGCCCACTTAACTTGTTATGAGAGAGATCGAGGACGTTGAGTGCGGGTAAGCTGCCAAGCACGGAGGGAATTTCACCTACCAGTTGATTTCCTGAAAGATTCAGTGTGCTCAATCTTTCGCATTGGCTAAGTGAGGTTGGAATAGGCCCTGTCAAGTCATTGTTCGCAAGCTCCAGCTTGGTGAGAAAGTTCAAATCTCCGAGCTCCTTCGGCAATTCTCCATGGAAGTTGTTGTTGGAGGCGATAAGGATAATCAAGTTGGCAAGACTGCCGACTTGTGTTGGAAAGCTTCCGCTGAAGAGATTGTTGTTCACATACAGCGCTTCCAACATAGACGTAGTCACTTTCTCAAAAGTGATGTCCCCGTCGAGTTCATTGTTTGACAAGTCCACGTGCTTCACGAGGGGATAACTCCACAACCCCACGGGCACGCTCCCATTCAGCTTGTTGTTCTGCAGACGTATCCTCTGAAGAGAAGGGCAGGACCCCAGATCCTCGGGAATATCTCCTGATAGCTCATTGTCGAATAGAATCAGAGTGTCCAAAGCGCCACCAGTGCAAAGACCGCGCGGTATCAACCCGACCAGGGAATTGCTTGAGACATCGAGCGTTTGGAGCCGCGAAGGCTCACCAAGTCTAGCTGGAATCTGTCCTGTGAGAAGATTGTTGAAAAGTTTCAGGTCATACAGTCCGGGTAGCGAACCTATCCCGGTCGGAATGCTACCATTGAGCGAATTTGTGTGGAAGTGAATGAGCTCCAGACTAGTCAGAAACGAAACTGATTCTGGAATAGGGCCGACAAGCTGGTTCTCAGACAGGTCTATCTCCACGAGGGATGTCAGGTTCCCAAATTCCGCAGGAATTTGTCCAGATAATTTGTTCTGATATAGTTGCAACTCCCTGAGGTTCGGAAGAAACATCAGCTCGCGCGGAATGCCGCCTGTCAGAGAATTGTTCGAGAGGTCAAGCACGACGAGCCGCTTCAGCTTGCCAAGTTCAGGGGGTATGCTTCCGGCCAAAGAATTATCTTCGAGATACAGGGCTGTCAAGTTCGTCTCCCCCAGTGAAGCAGGAATGTTTCCTTGCAGTAGACACCAGGATAATCCTAGAACTTCCAGGTGCTTCAGATTCCCCAACTCGACTGGCAATGAACTGTTGAAGGTGTTCATGTGCGCCTCGAACAGCACCAACGTACTAACGTTCCCGATATGAGACGGAATACTGCCCTCGAGAAGATTTGCTGAAAGATCGAGGTGCGTAAGTTTCGGGAATTTACCGTAACTTTCGGGGATGTGTCCGGAAAAGTTATTGTACGACAGGTTCAAAACGAGCAGCGATGGCAGTTCCCAGATATCGACAGGGAGAACGTCGACAATCAGATTGTAGCTTAGGTCGAGAAGCTCCAACGCTGCACACTCCAGAAATCCTGTTGGGATAGTACCCACTAAGTAGTTCCACGACACATTGAGCTTACTGAGCTTAGGGAGCTGGCAAAGAATTGCTGGCACTGGCCCTGTGAGGTTGGCGTTGTGAAAATTGAGTTCCACTACCGATGAAGATTGATCACAGGTGACTCCGTTCCACGAACATGGAGTCGCATCAGCGGCATTCCAGTTCTCCAACACTCCATCCACGTCCTGCATGCTGGCCTTGAAAACCAGCAAAACTTGGCCGTCGGTCGAAAGCCCTCGGACAGGATAAGGAATATGCAACCACAAACATAGGACAACCATCCGCAACAGTGCGCCCAACGTTCCCACGAGCGCTGCCATCTCCACAGCTCAGCCCACAGTAGCGGCTTTCATTCGAGCAACATCATACAAGATCGCTGCACTGTCGCAAGACAGTGACTCTGTGTCCTTCCGGTTTTAGGACGCAGTACTGCTGCTGCTACCCCCATTGCGGCGGAAATTTTGATCCTGGTCTCCTTCATACCCTCGCTCAAGACAGCCTCAAGTTTACGGGACGATCGCGCACCGGGTTCTCCTCTCCTTCGCTGTACGTTCTCTCGCGTTCCCGCTTCCAAGAAGGAAAACCGATAAACAACACCAGTGAAGTTTCGCACGAGTTAGCACGAACGGCAGCAAATGTTGGGTGCACAGCTCCCGCACAAGAAGAGAGCAAGAAGAGGGCCGCCCGGGCCGGGACTGAGTCCCAAATGCGTTCTCGGTCAAATGAAATCACAACGGAGTTCGCATGGCTAGTAATCAATACGGCAAAGTGCGAGCCAATCTTGCCTTGCTACTAGTCACCGACATCCGGCAAGTACGGCATATGAGAGCCAGCAGCGCTGCACACTATGGACTGCGCATCGCAGAGAGCATGTAGGCTTCGAACTGAGGATGCTGCTGCAGAATAATAATCATCGAGCAGCAGCAGAGAATCGCGAAGGTGGAGATGTACCTCTAGTCCAACCCGAGCATTGCATCTGACACCACCGACATCCGAGGTCCCAACGAATGAATCATATTCGCAGCAGCCAACGCTGCGCCTGGGCTCTAGCAGTAGCACGAAGGCCGCATCTCTCACCACACTCTCTGATCTCGCGCAACCTGCAGAAGCTCGTCTCGGTTATTCGAAACAACGGAGCCTTTTCCCAGCTGTAAGTGATCAGTCGCCCGTCCCCTGCCGCACTGTCTCGTTCCCTCCGCACTCTGCCACGTCCTACCCTGACCCGACAACTGCAGTAGCCTCTTCTCACATCCTCGTAAGTCTCGTAACTCCGATCTGCCCCCACGTACACCGCTGCGTCAGCTCAAGACGCAGTCGCATGTGCGAATCCATCACCTTTCACACACCGCATAGATTATGATCCGACGATGCACAGGCGACCGGAAACGCGCAGTCCTGCACTGAACCTCGTCATCCTGCTACGTTTCCAGGCCCACAACTGCGGTACACTTAGGGGTACTCAGGCGTGGTTACTATGCGCCTGCCGAACTGAAGCACGACAGGAGCAACGCCGTTAGAACTTTGAGGTCAGTCCGAGGTCCCCGTGGGAATCACTGTATATGGCAGTGTAGTGTCGGGTTTCCTGATAACGGATGGCCCGATCGGAACCATCTGGCCCTGCGAGAGAAACTCCTACCGGTAGCAATTGACTTCAGCAAAGTCGACTGAATTCGAGATCCTAACTGAAGGAATACGATCCGTTCGTCTCAAAGAAGACACGTGGGATGTAATTTTCGGATTTAATTACTCCTGTGCTGATTTAAGACGACTCTCGATGCATCCGTTCGATTAATCTATCCACGGCTGCGGTAGGCCTGCACGTCTAGCTCAGCTGATAGTGTGGCAATGCGTGTGCTTTGAAAACAACCAGAGTTTTAAGTACAAACTATCTGTTCCATGTAAATGTCGCATCAGATCGGCGCCTTAAAAGAATTGGAATTAATCTTCCGCATCATTCACATTGTATTATTCCCGTACACCTGGAAAAAAACCAGGAGTTGTCGTCTCACTTTCCTCATTGTGTAATTCCAGCGCGAAAGAATAATTCCGTGTAAGCGATAGGTCTTAATCATGTTTCTTTTCTTGCTCAAAGAAGATTATCTTATGGGGGTTAGACCGTGTGGTTTCATTTATTAACAGCTTGAGATATTTTTCAGACTTCTTCTAATGGATTGGGCCACTTATTAGCATTGACGTTTTGGGTATGACAATTTCAAAAAAAAACGCAATCCCTATAGATAGCTTCACACTTCATAAACTTGAGGAATCGACTGCAAGGTACTAGGAGGTCTTTAAGGAGATTGCGCGGAAAGTTTACACATATGGCTCATCAATGTGGTGATACAGGGGTTTCGCGAATCAAGACGAACTTTTCAATGTACACTATATACACCTTCCTCTAGTCACCAAAACATGTTGCATTTCAGTACACTCTATAGTATATAAATAAATGTATGGAAACAAATGTTCAAACAGTAGCAACAGATATGACGTCTAACATCCTCAATATAACCCACAGAATTTACCTAATATATCTGAACACATTCCTTGACTGCTTTATGCTTACAAACAAGATTCATGTACTCTTGATATATACACAATTCGATTGTTCTACTATGATAAGTATGACTTTCGCAAACAAACAAAATTGTCAAAGCTTTCAAAACTATCATCAAAGCATAACTTGATTAAATTTAATTTTCATTATATTATAAAAATATAATGGAAAATCATCTTACATAGACTGTGAATAATATATACATCATATATCCATAGAATTAATTTTTCATCATTAAAAATATTCATTTTCTGTAAAAAATTACATTAGTACAACCAGGCATATTATCAGTCATAGATATTTCTTTTATTTTATCACTCATTCACACGAACATTCAAACAAAAATTATCTAATACAACATTCAATTTCACTTCTACTTCTCTTAAATTTAAATTCATCTATCATAACATTTGAAATAGAAAATGTGCTTAATATTCACAAATAACTAAAATCAACGAATATTTTTGTAAACTAATGAAACAATATTTCATACATAATTCTTAGAAAGGTACATATATATTGAAAGTAATCATTTAAAATAAAATCAAATATAGGAAACTTCATCTAGGAAAGCAATGAATTTATGTGCTGAATGTAATAACTTTAATATATGTTCACAAGCTATAAGTTGAATTTATCCATCTAATTACATTTTAAATCCGTTTTAATCTGCACATGTATGTATGTATAATTTTCAATATAATTTTTTGCAATTATTTTCATACTCAATTTGGTGATACTCTTGTCACAAAACTAACTTACATCCAGCTATATGTCTTGTTTATGTTGAACTGTAACATATATTATCGACAAAACAAATAAATCAGAATAAAAAGGTTATATATTTATGTTTATGGTTCAGCATCTTCATTTAATCTATTTTATTTTAGATAATTTTTTATGACGTTGGATATTTTTTAAATAAATATATTTTTTTCAAGATAAAAAATGTCAATTTTCAAATTTTAATTAAGAGGTTTGATTAATTATTTTTTATGAAATTGAAGAGTTACATATGTAAAAAAATTAATATTAATTCCATTATTAGTTTTATAACAAATAAATAAAAAATTTAGTAAATTTTCACCAGCAGTCAAGCACCTGGAAGTCCTTGCTTCCTTCTTCTACACTTACTGATATCGTGAAGAAGCCTAGGACCGTTTCTTTCCTTAACTGAAGGTACAAGATAAATGTGAGTGTTGCTGTTATGTTCCTTTTTATTTTCAGTTTATGGTTTTCTAGGGCTGTACAGCTGTGCGCTACCGAGATGGATTACAGGGGTTAGTGGACCCGTGGTGCATGACTAGCTTTACGAGGGTTCGAGATCCCATGGATGACTTCCTGGATGTCTTCCGGGGAGGGCATTATGGACCCCGTGGTGCAAAAAGCGAAAGATCTTGCCCATTATTGTGACATTGACCTCAACACGAAACCATAAAGAGGATTCAGAATCCAGATGACTTTTCCTCTGTTCCTGTCTGTCTTCCATACCGTATTACTGTATTCTGGCTCCCAGATAGCACTCAAGAACTTATACTTCTGCCTTCAAAGACGACAAGACGTCTCGCAAGCTCTTCTCATCATTACTTTTTGTTCCCCAAGTGCTAATAATGAATTCGCCTAGAGTAGGTTCTTTTCCTTTCATGTCGAATATAGAGTAGGTGGTTCTAGATAGATAAAGAGTAGGTGTTCTTACCATCCTTTTTTTCCCCTATCTATTTGGGCCCCGTTTTCCTTTTTTCTTTCCTCCTGGGACGGAAAAAAGACCTAGTAGTGTAGAACTTGTCACATCGTATAAAATCCTCATAAGGATCCGCAGTATCGGCTTGCCCTATTGTGGAACATTCTACAACTACATAATTTTATCCTTTATTTACGTTCACGCAAGAAAGAAAAGGGGCCAAGTGGATAACACAAGAATGATGGGAATACACATCAAGCAGTACAAAGAACCTCACGGGGACTAGGCCCACATTCCTCACACACAAGAAATAGAGTCAACTTCCTACTCGTCATTTTCTTCACCTTTTTGTATGTGCAGCTTTTGGATTATTTGTTGACCTTACTTGACTGGAGGGAGTGCGCTATGGGTTGGGGGTGTGCTAGCTGCAATACGCTTTTCTCCTACCTACGAAAAGAATCAAGATTTACATACCAGATCAAAAGCCGGGAGAATTGATATTGAAACAAACTATCCATGTTATAAGAGAAAATAAAAGGGAGCAATAATACACATGGATATTTTATGTACGAATAGAAACAGAACTAACCAACTTAATCATATCACAGAAGATTATTCTACCTCTCCAAACTATTAAATTCCCATATGATGTACATCTAATCAATTCCAAGGCAGAATTATGCTTTTGCGTCATCTATAGATCTACCCTTTCTTATATAGCAACGCTTGCATTAATTAAATAATCATATTCAAATTAAGAAGAGGAAATCAATATTACATATAAATAATAACAAGTTAATTCAAATATTGACTGAAGAAAGATATATCTTGGTTTGTGAAATGAAATTCTATCGAATTATATTAGGTTGCAATCACAAAAATTGGTTGAAAGCTATTGATCATGATTTGACATGAGAGAGAGAAAAAATGAGATCAAGATACAAAATTGATCCAAATATAATTTTTTAATAAAATACACAGATATTGAATCAAATTTTTTTGCAGGTAAATATACAAACAAGCGTATCAAGAAAATAATTGAATAGTTTATAGCAAAATTTTAAGAGCACTAAAAAATATTTCTTGCAAGCCTAAAATCTAAGGTTTCAAGAGAATAGAATAATTTATAAATTTTAACATTTATGCATATGTGTTCGTATGTTTTTTAAAATAATGGATTCAAATGATAAAGTATCAAAGTATAAATGAAAGTTTCATGTAGATTGTGATATAGAAATTTTACAACAGATCAAAGCAAACTAACTAACGATAAAAGCTAATCCAAGGAGACTCAGCATTGAACCTATTTTTGGTTGATGATATTGGCGATGCAAATTTCTTAAATATCTTATGATTTTAATAATATTGTCATAAATTTTAATATAAAACCTTAAGTTTATTTTAAATTTTGAAGAAATATAAAATATATTACAAATAAACTTGTCAAACTTTTGAAATGGTTGCACTTTCTTGAAAATGAATGATGTTTATCATAAATTGTATATGTTGATTAAATACAAATTGTAATTAAAAAATATCCGACTAAGTAGAAGAAGTTTACAAACAAAAGAAAAGTATGTGATTTATGATTGCATAAAAAAAAGTTACAACCCTAAAGATATTGAATTAAAAAAAAGTTACTTCTAGTTTGCATCTATGATATAAATAATTAAAAAAAATCTATACAGTCTATAAAAAGTATAATTTTCATTAGTATCATGCTCGTGAAAAAGCATTATATGTCAGACTACAAGTATAAATGATATTTTATCATGTTTAAACATTTTTTTATTTTGCACATATGACATAATTCAGAATTAAACACAATAAAAAAATTTAATCTAAATTATTCTTAGTATTAACTCTAGTATCGTGTTAAACTCTAGTTGATCTAATTCAATTTAGCATTAGGTTAGGCTAAACCCTAATTTGGATCAATTTAAAAAAATTTGCTACCTAGATCATATAGAAGAGCAAGCCAACACTATAATCAACACTTTGTAGGTTTTCAATAAAGATGTTAATTTTAATTGATGCTGTAGCTCAAGAATGGCGAACCACTTGTTTATTTAAAAAAATCATGACCAATAAATATTCATCATGTATATTAATGCAACAAAAAATGTGACGTGTGCAAACAAGATTTCAAGAATGAAATACACATAAAAATGACTGCAAAATTATATAGTAATAATCAAACAATCATAGTTACTTCACAAATTTTAGATGCTTATGAATCAAATACATTGATACATCTAATTATATTTTAACTTTATCTGATCTGGCATATACTGCTAAAAAAATCGTTGAATCACGTTAATTACAAAACTAATTTAATATTTGTGTGATTTTGTATTTGGTTTGGTAATTAATACTATAATGTTGTTAATTTTTTTTTAGAAAATTACTCTTTCTGTCATTGCAAAAACCTAAAGAGTAGTTAGAGATTCCAATATTTTGAAACAAGTATGTGATAGTAAATTTATTTTTTTTATTTCAAAATATTACAGAATAATTTCCAGGCATTATGTTTGCAAATTTTTTTTATACATACATATACAAACTATTATATTTTTTCAAGATTTTGAATTTCTTTTTTTTAATCCCAAATCTTTTCAAATATTTCAAACTCTTGAATTTCTTACATCTGTAATTTATTCCAAACATTTCAAATATTATTAATTTTTTAACTTTGACTTTGCAGAATTGAAAAAAATTCGTTAATTTTTTTGTTCTTTAATTTGTTTGATAATATAGAAAGAGCAATCTAATGATCTTAGTTTGATCAAATTCGGCTTGTGCAATAAGGTTCATGATACAGATAAATATATCTATTCGTGCTTGAAAATAAGATACTTGATTTAGGAGAATAATATATATATATACACATATATATGAAAAATTATAAATCAATTATCTCAACTGGCAATCATATTACTCAAAATTTGTCAAATATTCAAATAATTGATAGCTATTACTCAAACATATTGCTTAATTTTGTCTCGAATTTTTCTAGTCTCTACTGAAGATAATTAATCTAAGAAAATTGACAAGCTTATGAATAAATATTTGATTTTCTTGCATGCATAAATTTAATCATTGACTAAAATTATTCAATATTTCAGTTCATTTAAGTCTGATATTAGTTGATATTGCTTCTTATTCAAATCGTTTGCATCATAACGATACAAGCACATACCACCAAAACAACCAAATTATTCAAATTTGCATATTTGATATTAGAAATAATCTCAGTTCATATCAAGTTTATTTTCTTTGAAGACTTTCACCTGTATTTTTTTAATAATACTTTTTAATAATTTAAACCATTTCATGTCAACTTGTTTATTTTTTTGGAAATTTTATTTGCACCCAGATTTATAAACTAGTACATACATTATTATAACATATATCTTTAACATTAGTTTGGTTAAATATAAATAGTCAAAAAAATTCAAAAAATTCATTATAATCACTTGTTTTCAAGTAATATTAATCAATTTCTTATATGAATAAAAAATAAAATAAAAAGTAAATATAATGTCATCACAATAAGTTTTCTTGTCTGCTTGTTATTCTCTAAAAAAAAATTTGATTCTTTTTTATAGGTCATTAAATTCTTAGAGATTATTAAATGATTTTGCACACATCTAATCTACATGTTACTTGTTCTTAAATATTGGCATTTTTTTTATGATCACGTTACAATAAATTTTAATTATCAACATGAATTTCTTTCGTAAAACTATTTTTTATGATAGTTTGTTGGATTCCTTTTGAATTAAATCTATGAATTGAATTTTTTCTTGAATATATTGTTTTTAAAAATGAATTTTCTATAATACTTTACACATTCTAAAATTTATAAGCAAATTTTCATAAAAAGGAAAAATCTATGCTCTTTGTTTCATTTTTAAAAATATTTTATTTTACTTCATTCAAAAATTTTCGAATGATATGAAAAAATATTTATTTCTATTTTTATATATAAAATAATAAAATTTGAAAAATAACTGAAGTTGGAATTCTAATATTTAAGATAATAATGGAAAAAATAAGCAAATGAAAATTGAATTATCCGTTTGTTTCAATTTATATTTAAATTTGATGATATGACGAGAGATGCAAAACATGAATATGTTTTATATGCATAATTTTCATTCAATCTGATTTAAAAAAAGTTGTTAAGTGGAAAATTATGTTATAGTAACAATGTACTAATCATGCAAAACTTTCAATGATGTTTATTTGAAAAAATTTGCAATTTATTAAAATGAAGCGTTAAATATATTTTTATATTAGCAACATATGAAATCATGAATTTTTTTGAGAAATGAATATCCAAAAATCACAACACATTTTGTCACGTGTAAATAAAATCAATCATGTCTGAACACATGAAAAGTTTAGATGGTGTTCAGTCACAAAGACATTGCGTGTTCTTATTAGGTGTGTGGTATTTGCATTGTGATTCTATTGGGTCTATCCCATCCTTCCATTCGTTAAATCCGTGAAATACATGGAAGTATATTGGCAACTTTTTGTATATTTCACTCTCATATTTAAACTCTGGAATGAAAACTTGTAGAAGAGATAGTGAATGGTTAGAGATTTGCTTGATGGGACCCCTACGGAAAGTAATTTGCTTGATGGGACCATTCAGGTTTCATTTTACCCGATGGTACCCCATGAACGATGCACCGTCACCCATGTTCTAATAACAACTAGAGAGAGTGCAACGAGTACACCGCAACCGCAGACAGAGTGGACTTTGCACTCCATCACACTCACTTGTTTTTATGTTGTCATTCTGTATCCGGCCACTCTCCAAGGAGACGAGTAGAGAAATGTTCATCCGGAGTTTATTTGTTCGCCACGAATGGGTGATCGCGAGACTTGAGCTCGCACGCAGGGTTACGGAAGGAGTGTGCAGGTGGGAGGCAACAGAGATATCTTTGCGAACGAAAGAATTGAAACACAACAAATTGCACTTCGAGCAAAATCGATCTTTGTCCCCGTGATAATCCACCAAAAATTATAATCAAGTATTGATCTCTGATTGTAATTCCCTCATTGTAACTAGTAGTAATCGTAATTACAAGAACTATGTACGACGGCACACCGTCGTTAGGGTCCCATTGGGTAAAACTAAACTTGAGGTGTCCCATCAAGCAAATTGCTTTCAGCAGAGATCTCATCAAGCAAATCTCTCGGAATTGTTGTAAACTGTACGGTAAGTATTGATTGTTTTTCTTAGAATTACTATTTCGGATTCAACTACTTGTCCCCGAGGAGCATAAAATTCTACCAACCTAGCTGTAGCAGTCTAAGGAATGTGGATCAAGGGACTTCAAACCGGGGACAAAGTTGGAGAACACTGCGAGTAGACGGAGTGCGATGTGCCATAACTTCAGTTTTCTCTCCTATAATGTAACTACCCAATTACCCGGGCAAGGCAGTGCCCAGAATAGAGTTGGCATTCCACAAAGTTTTAATTATTCTATTTATAGACTATCGGCCTCTGAAATGCGACACTGAGTGCATTGAAGAAAGTGAGTGCGGTTTGTTAATCGAACGTCAGTAAGCGGGAAAATGTTAGGTTGAGGGCGACCATCTCTCCTTTTTGTTGTTCTCCTACCTGCGTGTTAAGGCCTCGCGGCAGGTCACGTGTTATTTCGGTCGCTCTCCTCCGTCCTGGCTACATAATTAGATTATTGGTAAGCCCCCCAGAAGATTGCGGGCAGTTTTCGTTTCCTAGCTTTACACGGTGGGAGTTCTATCAATCAAACCATTGGGACAGTATTTTGAGGTATGGTCCTCGTGCAATTGTGAGACTCTTGATTCCGAATCGCTGCAGAGGAATATTTCATATTAAACACGTCACGTACTGCTTCTAGGTAGTTACAGATCTGTGATGTTTCTGATGGTAAGAAAAATTCCTGATATGTATGGGCACCTGTGATATTTTGTCCAGTTGGAGCTGTCTGAAACATGCATGAAGTCTACATCACTCTTAGTTCTGAGGTCTGTCTGTGAGCTTGTGTTAGAGAGTTTGCTCGAGCACTACTTCTGCACATTTTGTTTCTCTGTCTGAAGTTATGCATCTGTGATCTCAAATCCAAATTGTCTTTACTCCCCTGGATGTCTTTGTATCTCTACTTATTGTCTGAATATTGTAGCCTGAGATCTGGGAAGGTGCAGGCATGATAGATGGGCTATATTGCATGTTTCTTATGCAGATATAGCTCCTGTCTTATATCTTTCCGTGATGCATCAGGTTTTGAGATGACAACTGAGCAAAATTCCACGAATGCTGCGGTAAGTCGTGCCGAGGATCATAATCTGAGCAGGGAGTGTGCACTCAAGCTAGTCACAGGCTTTTTGACAGATGTTTCTGTCATAACGGATGGTCCTCCAATTGTACAGAGTGGATCTATGGACTGGACCACATGGCAGTTGCTGGATTCCCTTTTTCCTACCGGTGGCTTCGCCCACTCATATGGTCTTGAAACGGCGTATCAAGGAGGACTGGTATCAGACTGTGCCTCTCTTGAGAGGTTTGCGGTCAATTCACTTCAGAACAGTGCAGGATTGTCATTACCATTCGTGTTCGCAGGTAACAAGTTTCCCAATACCGAGTGTTGGTTGGAGTTAAACAAAATCTTGCATGCAATGCTTACAAATCATGTTGCTCGAAAGGCATCATTGACCCAAGGTTCAGCTCTTCTACGGACGGCATCGACAGTGTTCACAGAGTTTCCGGAATTGAAGAAGATGCGCGCATGTTCTTATGCCCCAACGGCTACTACACCTCATCATGCTCCTCTGTTTGGAGTGTTATGTGGATTGCTTGGTGTGGATGCAGTTACAGCTCAACGATCATATTTGTTCATGGGACTAAGGGATATATTATCAGCTGCTACAAGGCTGAACATTACAGGTCCTCTAGAAGCAGCAAAGCTTCAACACCAGATTGCGGGTGTAACTGAAACGCTGCTAACTAGGTATGCAAATAGGCCTTTGCAAGACTCATACAGCACTTTTCCACTTGTGGACACATTTCAGGGTGCTCATGACCAATTATTTTCTCGAATGTTTTGCTCTTGAAGTACAGCTTTTCTTCACCTCCGTCCAAGGGTTTTTTATTGGATGGTCATTACTCTTGACTTGGAATGGAACTATGCTTGTTGTCCAAATTGAAAACTTGAGTATGGTGTACGACACCAGGGTGCCAGAGTATGTTCGATGATAACTGTATGAGTTCTTTCTGATATGGTAGCTCTATATCAATAACTGTTAACTAAGTTATAATTTTGCACGTATTCTCTCACATCTGAACGCTATCTGAACAACTGTCCTTAATCACATTAAGCACTTCAACTTCATGTTAGAGATCACAGGATATCTTAGCTATTGGGACACGCTTTGAGTGAACATTTACTTCAACCTTATACTGGATGAAGAGTAAAGAAATCAAGAGTTGGCATGTTCTTGATTTTGAGTTTTTGAAGTAATTCGTAATATAATCGAAACAGAAACATTTTAAGAATTGCTTATCCTGGATGTGAAGCCCAAGGCGGCTGAGTTATTATTTACACCTTCAATAGATGGATGAGCTACTTGAGGGCTGTATGCTGGTTGACATTCCGAAGTAACTCCATCTATGAGAAAACGTCACACTATAAGTTCTCTTCTCCCTCAAGTAGTCTTCTTTCTTCTTAGTCTCCCCCAGCTAGTCAAGGTCTTTTTGATTGAGACTTCGAAGCTCTGAACCAACCACATGTCTAGAGGTGTCACTTTTGTGTCATGAAGTGGTATTCAAGTGCGATTCATAAGTGCGAAGATTCAAGGGTATTGCCTGGATGAGAGTCCTATGAGGTTTTTCCGTGGTTCAGCGAATTATTATGACTTGCAGCTTAATCTCGATTTGGTTCTGGCATTTCTCCTTTCGTTCGAACATGTTAGTGGACTGGGCCTGAGTCCTAGCTTACAGGTAATTTCAGTGTTTGCATGATTTCGATCATGTATGTACAACATCAGTGATGACTTTCAGGCAGTTTCTCCGCACTGAAACTTATGGCCCGACGTTTGTACACAAAAAGTTGTGACCTATCAAGTTTGCTGACATTCCTCTGCCTACTGAGGAAGTAGGCAGAGGAATGTAAGTAGTTAGCATCACATAATTTGTTCATAAATATCGCTCATATCAATCGATTATCTTGATCTCCCCATAAGATAAGTTCGCATTGTCAAATAGTGCTCTAGACTTCCAGCATAGTGCATATGGGTTTTTCTGTTTGTTTACTTGTTCTCTTCGACTGGAGCCTGTTTTGTTCACAATGCGTCCTAACCTACGTTTACAAGGCCTATCGTCCCGTATGGTCCCCACCCTTACTACGGGAGGTAGGACCTTGCCCTCTCCATTGTCATACTTTCCTACATCCGCATTGCTCTCAGTGTTTCTTGAAAGGACGGATTGTTTTCTTGCTTTTTATACTTTTCTCGCTCTACTTTTCTGTTACCTGCGTATACACTGGTTTGAATCTGTTACCAATGCGACGTGGCTTGTGTGTAGACTTAGAGAGCCACCGAACAGTCTGCCCCAAGTAGTAAACTTTAAGGACTGCTGGCTCTTCAAAGAAGCTGATAAATTCATGGTGTACACTCATTGTAAATGAACCTTCTATTGTTTAAAGCCTTGGGGTAGAAGCTCAAGCTCAAGTTTTGTGAGGTATACGGTAATTTGTTAACAAGAATCATGTCATCAATAATGTGCAAGTAAAGACCGTTCGATGTTTCTAGTTGGTGTAGTTCCTGTACTCCTCACACTCTTTCGTCTGTAGGCTTGTTCATCAGAAACCAGAAAATATATAGCGGGTGAAAGCACAGAAGCAAAAAGTTGTTGATATACCGATGTTGTGCGTGACCTGTTCATAGGATAAAGTAATTAACTCAATTAAGTTAATTAGCTCAAATTATTAAGTAGATTATATTGTTACATTCAAAATACTAATGAGTTTTATGATACTCATGAAATATATGATAACTTTCTAAATTAAATTTGAAGAAAGTTATTTCCAAAAGTTTCATTTTTTATGTTACACTTGCATCCTCAATGCACTTGACAATATGAAGTTTTCCATAGTAGTGAGTTGCATTTAGTGAAATCTTCAATAAGTGTATAAAATTGTAATAAAATAATCTAATTATTGCAACTAGAAAAAATAAACTCTTCAATTCTCTTATATACATATATATATATATATCTATAAATTGAAGAAATGGAAGTATAGATTTATGATAATCATTATAAAAATTTACGTTTTCATGAGATTTTCAATTTTTTCTTTATGAAATAAATTTTGATACACGGTGTACTATAATATATATGAATAAACTTATTATATTATTATTTATGATTATTATTCCTAAACTTATACGTTTATGTCGTATAATTATCAAACAGAATGGAAATTATGGATCTGCACATTGAAAATTATATATTTTAATGTTGATAGACACAAAAAGCACAAGAAACATTTGTCAGAGAAATTTGTCAGAGAATATTGTTCATGGCTAATACTTCGTGTATCAATTGATTGTGTTTTGGACTTCAAAATTTAGAGAAAACAGCATTTAGTGTTCTTCGGGAGCCATCTCTTCGTCAATAATGTCTATCACATCTTCGGGGTCTAAAGTATCACATGTCGTTTGTTATCGTAGCTCACAGGCTTCCGGTAAAAAGACTAGATTACTCCATGAGCTCAACACTTGAACCACTCTACCGAATTTTCCACTTCACAGTGATAACTGTATCTTATATTCATATCGACAGAACACTTCGAGCTTTTCACGTGACGAATTCAGAGTTCCGGTGAGAACATCAGTTTTCAAGACTTGTAAACTGTGTGTGCGATGAGGATGAAACGGAAGGTCATGTTTGTAATCGCATGAGCGAAATCCCTGACGTACATGTTGTAGACTAGATACAGCATTTGGACGATAATCGCTTACGTGTAACCAACCCGAAAATGAATGAATTCATCATATTAACCTGATGATAGGCTCCAACTACAGCTTCTGTTACAAATGCTCTCATACACATCCGTATACCTGACTAATCCGTGATCATTTCGGTCGAATGGACTCGACAAGAATGTGATCTACACGATGATTCTATGATACCCTCTACTGGCGAGTACGCAGGGCTAACGATGCGAACTGATGGGGACTAAAGTCTATCTGGTGTTTCAATGTCAATCCTTACCTCCTTGGCCCAAAGAGTTCGTATCAGAAGACCTGGGTCCTCATGACAAGGCAAAGGCAAACTCGGCTTTGTCTTCAAATAAACAGAAGACGATCGCCTTGACAAGTAAAGACCTTCCGGCTTTAGAAAGAAACTTCCTAATCAAAGCTCAGATTTGGAAGATTTTACAGACTTGGATTTAGGGGTCGATTTAGTGATACGTTTATCTTTGGTAGAACCGTTGCTTCCGTACCAGAACTTCCCAGCATGGTATCGCAAGGCATCTGCAGCTTCCTTCAACCCCGACTTCAACTTCCCAAAGACAGCTTGAGCTTGTTCTTTAATCCCGGAAGCACTTCGAGATTTTTTCAAGTGTTCCTGTGAAAACCAAACATCGTTAGATGTGTCTTCTGGATGTCACAAATAGCAACGCCTCATCGTTTGCACTTATTTTCAAGTGACATCAGGTAGTAACAACTCATTCTCGACACATGCTACTTGAACACACAACTCACAACGCAGAAGCAGGCTAGCCGTTAAGACAAAACGTTTCAAAAATAGTAGGACTTTGCGTTTTCTTAGGATACCTTGGCTACATTAGTAAATTTCTGGTCAGCCTGATCATCCTCCTCCTCCTCATCATCGTCATCCTCATCTTCACTGCCAAAACGTCGTTTCATTAATTCTTCCTTCGAAAACATCTGCATACCCGGTGCACCTGGCATATCCTGTATCGAGAAACGAACAGTAATAAGCACCTCATCTTCCACTCCAAAATACGTCCCTTGCTGCCATATGTATTGGCCATCCTTACTCCACAGAAGTTATTTTGCACTCAAGTTTGGCTTCAAGTGTATAATAGTTGAAACAAGTACTTACACTCATCGAACGCATTATTCTCTCCATTTCAGCATCCTTGGACGGTTTTGGAGAGAACGGCGGTCCAGTTTCACGATTCTGGATCAAGAAATGTGATGATTTTTGTCAATTCACGATACTAACTGAGCACAGCAGGGAATATATCTGGGGCCTATGACTTATCAAGTAAATGTGCCGCTCCGCCTTTCTGTGATCATAACAAATCATAAAAAATGAGGAACACAACTGTCTAGCCTCTGATTACAAACAGAGGTCATTACTTTGTATGGAGGAGAAATGAATGGCCTAGGTTATATCAAACCTTCGGAAGTGGCGGAGGTTTGCCGACACAAGCCTTGCTTAGATCTTTGCAAAGAAATTTTGATACAGCTGCTCTTTGTACATTTCCTTTGTACATGAACTCAGCCACATCTGTGTCATGATCCCCCATCACCTGTAAAATGCAATACCTATCTTCAGAACGATGACTAACCTTGATTGCAAGTCGAAGCAAGTCAACGAAAAAAGGTAAGATCTGTGTGCGTACCAAGACATTACAAATGTGAGGTTCAGGGGCAGCGTGACAGTAAGAGGTTTCCAACTGGAATTCCGCTACAGCCTACTTCCTGTATTTTTTAGGCATCCACGTTAAAAGCTGAAACATGTTCTGACCTCTTGACAAGCACGCTCCAGTGTTCGGCACTCTGTGTTGCATTCACCTTCTTCTGCTTGCTCAACAAGCTGCAAGATGGCACAAATGGAGGTGGACCCAGAATTGTCAGCAAGACTTTACCAACTGCATAGTGTTTAGACTATGGATCCAAAACTCATGAGAAAGAGAAATTCAAAACCCAGCCATTCAGCTTACCTTGAGCTTGTCACCTTCTTCAACTAAGTCAAAGAACATTAACCAGTCAGCTTCCTCTTTCTTCAAGTTACAAATGTTCTCCGCGAGGTTAATTATGTCGAGCTCAGTAAGCTGAAGATTGGCAATCACAGAGATTTTGTAGTTATATTGTCAGTGATGTGAATCTCAATTTCGAGCATCAAAAGAGAAAAATACGAGCATTTGAGTCTTCGAGCCCCAATCACATATTCCTTTGCCTACTAATAGACAAATATAACAGAAGATAAAAGTCACTACTATGCATATGTTACCTAAATAGACTCAGAGGTTCTCTATGTGAACGTCTGAGTCCAATTACGGACGCTACTACAGAGAGTTAGAGCATTGATCTGGGGATCAGCCAGGGTACTGATCGTGGTTCCAGCACATTATCCGTATCAATGTTTCAAAGCACACCAAATGTGACATTTCCTGCTCTCTTTCTTGCCCTCTAGTAACTGGGTCAGCTCAATACTTCATATACCAAGAACATCATACCTTTTTGGGTGCGATCTTTTCTTTTTTCTTCTTTACTTGACGTGTAAGCTGCTTTACGATTTCCTCGCATACCCCGCATTTAATATATTTCACGTCCTCCTTTCTCGCACTGGCAATGGCCTTCTTCGGCAACTGCGCATTCGATTCATGGCAAAGACACAGAAGAAGTACGGCACCCAGAAGTAACAACAAGCAGCACCGCTTCATCATGATATTCCTTCCCGCAAAGAACGTCAAAGCTCGAAAGACGACTCCCACAAATTCTTATCCAGGAAATTTGATATCAGCTTCAACTCCTTTCAGCATCGGATCTCTACTTTCCAGCTTAATGAAACATTCCAGTTCGTCTGTCTTCTTCACGGTTCATATCACGATATGAACCGATGACGTTGAGGCAGGCAAATCGAAAGGCGGCCTTTCGATGGGCTCTCCCGTTCTGCTAATCAAGTCAGAGACGTCAGAAATCTGAGAAAGAATTACAGACAAATTACAGACAAGCCTTTGATCTGACCGAGCAAATGCTCTTCCCTCAGGTCTTAAACGTCGTCGAAGAGTCGGAGAATAACACAAAGAAAGTTTTCAAGAGTAACAAGACTAACCTTACGAGGATTCAAGTTCTTCTAGCCCAATGTTCGATCTTTCGAAGGTCATGCCTGATTCTGGCCTAGAGACGAGAACGTGCACGGGCAAGCATTTATGTTTTCAGCCTAGAGACGAAATGTGCTCGGCGACGTAGAGTTGTCGGCAGCTTGATTGTTCGCACTTTAGACACGGTGAGGAGCACAATCATTGCAACTTGCTAAGTGCTTCTCCTAAATTAACCCCGCCTTTGGGCTGCACTCATAGAGCACAAAGCCCATGTCTTTCAGCGTGCGGCAAGATACAATTCTAGACCCTTCTAGAATTGCTTCATTTCAGAACTACGCCAATGACGCAATTCCCTCTTATATTTTAGGTGCAGAGTTGACCTGAACATGCAGAAACCGGGAGGTACAGCGTTCATGATTCGGTGAGAGAAAGGAAAAACATGTGCCTGTAGTCTGACGAAGCCTCGTTTGAGATTAGGCAATGGAGTCGACTGCATTGCACTCTGAAGATAGTCAAGACATCACAGATAAAGTTATAATCTCCTCTCAAAATAATGAACCATAATGAAGTCCATGTTGTATAATTTTTTACACAAGTTTTAAAGGGATTGATAAATCACACTATAGATGTTGGGAGTGTAGTGACAATATCTAAGATATCAAAAATATGCAAAGAGTTAATCTCTTAAATATATGGGGTTGGAGTTATTCGCTCAAACTTTGGTAGCCTATCATACTAAGCAGAAGACGCATTGCTCTCCTTGGGTTAGTGTACATTCTGTTTTAGTCAATTAAGTCAATATGTTTCCACTATTCTGTGGAAAAAGAAAGCAATTACGTTATTCAATAAGAACAACAACGGGAGTGATCCTTGGAATAACAATCACATACATAATAATGACTATAACATATCACTAGACTACATAATAATGACTATATCATACACATATGGGACGCCGATCACATTGCATGTGCTTCTTAGTCATTCATATTATATGTACACAGGATGACCTATATACTTCACAGCTATTGGTTCCGACAGGACATACTTCTCATTGAGATGAGATTGGTGCGAGTACCATGTTACTCAGTAGGTTTCATCCTTGTTTAATATATTCATCCTATGTTTTTGTTACTTTACCTTGTACTTTTATTTACTGATTAAAAACCTTGCAGGAAACCTCTTGTTGTTACTGTGCTTGCTTGACTATCAGAAAGGGCAAAGACTACTGCATGTATGAGCCTGACGAGCTTTCATACGAATTCCTGCCGAGATCAGAATAAATAAGAATATACTTCCTTGGCAAGGGGACTCAAAGAGAAGAGCCATGTGAACCACCCTAGAGGGAGTACAGGTGTCCGTCGGGAAGAATAGCACGCAGACTTCACAGATTTTGCATTTGCTTTTGGTCCGTTGCCGGTAAAGAAACGTACACATGAGGAACTCCCAGACCTCACTTCCAACGAGATGGTCGGGAAGTGGATACCTGTTTTCTCCTGGGCTTCAATGAAAGGCTGTAAGCTTTGATTGCTGTAAGGAGGAGAAATTGAGTCTACGGATGATGGTGGAATGCGTCGGATCGATTATGGTGCAAACTTTGATGGTTCTTGCGAGCTGCAGTGATTGCTTGTCACATCAACTGCTATGACGCGGATTGAACCATGAATTTGTGTACCTCTTTTTCTGTGGGTGATGGTTGTGCCAACCAGCCAAGGCCTTGAGGTGCAATGAGTTCTGGGTTAATGAGAACGGAGAAATATTGATCGCTGCTAATTATGATTACTCGAAGGAACTTGGCCGAGCAGCTGAGAGATTATCAGCTCCGATCCGAGCGCGACTGGTCGTCTCTTTCCTTCTGGTCCTCCACGAACAGGTTTTATAACTTACCTTCAATCTTAATTTATCTTTGTGAAACGCTATTTGTTTAGCCTTGATGTGTGGCAAATTGGCCTTATGGACTGGGACAGTTGTTATCTAGCGAGATCTATGCAAATCGACGCATGGTGCAAGCATTGCCGTAGTGGACATTTTAATTTTACAGTGCCATTATCTTTTACGCTGCTACCATTTCCGTGTTCTTCTCTCTGTAGTTTTACGAATCTACTTGTTGAGCATACAGCCCTCCTGCAAAGACACAATCTATAGCTGGAATTTTTAATTGCTCTCTCAGATGCGGATGTCTTCCCTCTCTGGATGACACAATCAAGTGTAAGTTGATTACACAGGCTTGGCTGCAGAGGTACCATGTTCAGTTCATGGAGTATAGAGTCACTATCGTTTCCTAAATTGTATTCTGAAGGTTTGTTAAGGGATGGTAGTGGTGAAAATCTTCACAGCATTGTTGGTTCAAGGTTCGACGAACTTGTACGCCCACATAGTGCTGGCATGAAACCCAGGCGGACCCAGACGCTGGTGGCTAGCCTGTTGTCAGTTTATATCAGGAACTTTAGAATTTTGTCATCCAAGCATAAAGGTCCAGAACTTTAGATCGAAGAAAGTACACCTTCAATTGCTAGGAGTCTGACTTCGGACCTACTCAATTGACATGAGAATTGATTCTAAGTCCATTTACCCTAACTTTTTTAATTTATGCTGGATCCTGATTCCTTAATCTGATCCATTGTGGCTTTATTCCTCTTTAGGTGATGGAGTAGAATAGAATTCTTTGAGAGAAGGCGCGGTTATGCCTTTTGATGAACTTTCAAATAGAGAAGTTACTTTTGGTTTGCAATAAGGCAGGTCTGGTTTCTGTTTCTATTAGGTGCTCACCACTGAGTGTTGACTGCTCCTGCAAACCATTGTTGTTCATGCTACAACATTATCGCATTTTCTTAGCTGCCCCATCCTAGAATCGACCCGAGCATCCTTGTACGTCAAGACTTAGAAATTGGGATCTGGTATATCCCCGACCACATTTTTGAGTACAGCGGCTGTCGTAAGGTGATGAGAAACAAGGCTATGCCGAAGAAAACCCGAGATGACGTTTTCCTTCACTTAATATGAGTCTGATTATGTATAATGTGACATTTGGTAGACTTCACTCATTGTGCGTTGTTGTTGCTCATCTCTTCAGCACTATGTATGTTAATTGCCGGGGCTTAGTCATATACACATTGTGAGCACATCGATATAGTGGCATATGCCTTTATAATGATAAGCAATGTGGCTAGACTAGCTAGAACCTCCCAGTTGTTCTAGTTTGTGAATCGTCACACGATTTGTATTGTGAGGATATTGAACTTGTGAAATCTCATTTGTCGACGACGATATATCTCTTCTCGGAAACAATGAGAACTATGCTCCTTTGCGCCTTCAGCATTGACCTGGAAAAATATATTCATACTTGAAGATTGGCTTGCTCGAAGAACAGAATACTGTTGAATTAAGCTTGCATATACTGCTGCAGGGTGCGGTGAAGAGCCTATATGTTGTAGTGTATTTTTGTTGAAAAATTTATATTTACAACATCGTATAATAATTACACATTTTGATCCATGTCACAGGCCTGATGGAAGCACAAGGGGTCAATGGCGTATTTTTATCTGCATTTTATTCCTCACCGCCGCTGGTATTCTTTACTTCTTCAGAGACATCAGACTATCTCTTACTCTCCTGGCAATTGCCATTATTCTTCAAACCTGCTTCAGAGCGGTACGTAGCAGGTTAGCTAGAAGAAGACAGCGAAGAGTTCTACCTTAAGATAAGGGAATTTTACTTGGTCTTTTGAAGACCCTCATCATTCTTTAATCCATCGCTAATGTTTGTATCATGAATTTTGCCATCCCAGTATCGGCATACAAGAAATGTAGGCCAGCAAAAGATTTGCGTGGATTCCGGCCAGAAGGTTTCAAGTTTGTCAAATTGCTGTCCTAGTTGGAATATGTGTCTGTGCAAGTGAGCTCACTTACCGCTTAGGTCACTCTCTTGTTAAATGATCACCACCTTCCGCTATCTGTAGGATGTTCAGAACAGAATACTAGCAGAAACTTAATTTATACATCGCTTAGTTACATTTACTTGGATATTCTCATGCTCTCCTGTCACTATGTACATGTCTTGATTCAAATTGGAGCTTATCAGAATAACCTAAGTTGAAGTGAAGTTTCAGGTAGCCCGGGCAGATGGCAGATATGTCAACAACGGTCTATAGATGATGTAATCCTCTGATTTTAGATCACTTCGCACGCTTGTCATTTAGTGGCTCTAATTTACTTCAATGTGTTTTTATTGTACCTTTACTGCTGAGCCGTATGTTTTGGATGTATCTTATTTTGTTCAAACAGTCACGAGAACACTCATTGTCTTTTCAATCCGCTGTTGTGAGATCGCCCAAGGAGGTCGGCTCGCTGTTATAACTAGAAACTTAAAGTTATAGTAAAACAATTATCTCTTTCCCAAGTTAACGCAGTAAAATGTTTCTTCCTTTACGTCAGGTTGTGGGCAGAAGAACTTGTGGTCTAATGATGAACTCTTTTGTTTCCTCTGTTGCAAATTTGTTAGTTTTTGGATGGTGCATTTTTTCGGTTCAGTGTTCATCTTTACTGGACAATGAACCAAATCTGTGGCTGATCATAGATTGCAACGTCCTTTAGGTTTTCTACCGAAGAAAAAAAGGTTATTAAATTTTTTTCCTTTATCAGCTTAAGCATAAGACTGCATTCAAATCGCTCAAGTTTAACGAGTGTGATGCGGATTCTCAGATCGTGTATGTCGAAGGATACAGTTGGTAATCTCGAGCAAGCTCTCGGCATTTCAGTGAGCAGTATGTAATGGTTATGTTCTTTGAGTGAAAATAATGATTTACCTTAATGCAAGTGACTTACTTGGATATGGAATATACCATCGCCTGCATTTTCAGGATTCCTCTTGGTTAGGAATATATGAGGACCTGAGCATCTTATGACCCAAAGAAAAAACAGTATTGCACTTTCCACATTTATCAGATAACTTGTAGAAGGCTTGAAATAACGCCAACTGAACGGACAAAATGTATAACCGGACACTCAGTCTGCGTGCAATTTGGCAAATTTTCATCTGTGTCATTTGGCATTTGGATTATAATGTGTGATTTATTTTTCGCTGCCGAATTACGCAGTGAGTAGTGTAAAGATTAAATGTAGGTTGTACTCATATCATAGGTGCATTATAAAGTATTTTTCACAGGGATGCTATTGGGACCTAGCTCCATCCTACCCGTTGGTTGAATAGTGACGGATAGATAGGTCATAACATTAACGTTCATTGTTGTAGCTTTTCGAAATCAAATATATCAACTTATCATTCAGTAATCTATAATCTACTCTTAATTATACATTCTTGAAGATCACGATATTGAGATTTAGATGACATTACATTGATAATAGAAAAAAAATGAACATTTTTATCATAAATAAGCTCAAGAATCTATCAATAAGTTTGAAAAGCTGTCTACACTTTGTGTGAGTGTGAAATCTTTAGATTTCAAGATAGCTTTGAAGATAGTTTTTTGTACCATTTGTTGAATTGTTCCATTTGTTATCAACCAAAAATTAATTGCTTAAAACCTACTCTTGCTCTTACGTTTTGTTATCAATTGGTTATTGCATTTCATAATCTATATCCCTATTTCACTCAAGCATATTTACAAAGATTTGAGCTTTTCTATAAAAACAAGGTGTTTATTTTTTCAAAATCAACAGATTGACATCACTATTTTGAGTTACAAAATTATTATCTTCAATATTAGATGAAACAAGATGAATTATACCTTGTATAAGCTCTAGTGATTATATTAGATGATAATATACTAGAAGTTTTTGATATATTTTTACTGTTTGATTTATTGATTTGAAGCCCATCAACAAAGAAATATTTTTCAAATCATACATTTCAAAAGATTTCTTTTATGATTTGCTGCTGTATTAAAATTGTCAAGCACATGTTGAAAATACTTGCTTTGATTTTGCCATAGACTTTTTCTTCTTCAAATCTTCATGAATCATTTATTACATCTTTTTACTTATGCATCTTAAATGCAAACTTGAGCTGATTTTTGCATCTGTCTACATCGGATTGATTTTTTGCCAAAATCGTTTAAACCATGTTATCATCTAAATAATCTATGAATCAACTTTTTTTAACATTTATACTCAAAGCCAATTGTTTGTATCAGGTAGATTTTTTTTTCTAGAGATCCGTGATCAAATTAAATATTGCAGCAAGTGCACATACCAATTGCATTATAACATACTTTGCTACAAGTGAAAACACATTGTTATTATCCAGATTTTTTTCTTATGTGAAATCTCTAGCTATCAAGTTGGCTTTGAATATTGTGTTTTTGTCATCTATTAAATTATACTTCAGCTTTTATATTTATTTGTAATCAATCAAAAGTTGATTTTTGGGAAACTTCACTAGCTTTCAACTCTTGTTATCTATCAGCGTTTACATCTTACGTTTCATAGTTGCATTTCATTGAAGCTTATTGACAGAGTTATCAAGATCATTATAAAAAGGCATTTTTTTTAAAGATCAACGCAATGTTATTACCATCATGAGTCCCAATGTTACAATTTTCAAGAATGAATAAATCAGTCCATAATCCGTCTCTTTGAAGAACTTTATTGATGCGATTTGATAATATCATAGTAGACAATTTTGATACATATATATTGTTTGTGGCAAATATTTGAGGTTTGCCAACAATAACCAACTTTTTCAATTTTTGCTCTTTCGTAATTTGCTCCATCTTATTGTAGTTTTTTTTTTGTCAATTCATTGATAAAATAATGATCAATCTTCCCCTCTATAACATACTTGGATGAATATTTGTCCTTGTAAGTACAAAAAGTTTGGAAAATTTTCCACTTCTTTCACTAATCTGGGCTTGTTTACTACATACCTATCAACAATAATCTACAGAGTAATGAATCACATAGCAAATAATCTTTCACATCAATAATTTTAGACTTGTATCTATCTACAAATCCAAAATGCTTACAATTTTTATCATCATGTGAATATGATCAAGTCTTAAATCACATTCGATGGCATAAAAAAAAAGTATGGACGGTTTCAACCTTAATGCCTTGTTTAGATCTATGACCTTGAGCTTGTACTTGAATTTTTTCTTCCAAAACAAATAATAATCATGTTCAACATATTTGACTTTGTTATATCATAGTACTTGGTTGACATCTTGTTCTGTCTTTCTTAATTGTTGAGAAAAAAATTTTCTTTTTTTTTACTCATATACTTCTTTTTCAAATGATCATACAAGATATATCATAATTTTTTTGCCTGATCTTTAAGCTGTTTTGCTGTTGTTGTCCTTACAAGGTTACTCCTTGTAGCATGTAGCCACAACTCAATTGATGATAAGACAATGTCAAGATGCAAGGTGTTGCACAATTTTGGGGATGACAACAACGTTGCTTGCTGATGCTTGCATCTATTAAAAAAAATATGAGATACAACTAACCAAGCCAGAGCTTTTTACCGTTATTTTGCATTCAAATGTGAAGAACAAACATCAATGTATAGAATACTTCCACGTCTATCAAGCTTTGAAAAATGATAACTTGGTCTTTACTTGTAGTGTTAATGAATAGTCTAGAGATTCATCCCACCATTAAAATTAATTGCAAATACCAGTATTAACATTTGACATTCTAGATAAAAACAACTCCATGAATTATCTTCACATGTAAATGCCATAATAAATGATCTGGAGTCATATCTTAAACAACCAAGTATAACATCATATTCTACATCTAAATAACGTATGATTTGAATTCTACGATGTAAGGATTCTGTGATGAAGATTATGTATCCCGCCTTACTAACTAGACAATCTATTGTCTCCACTTTTGTCTAACCTTTTTAGAGAGCTATATCATATAATTCAATAAATTTATGCTTAGAGCTGTTTACTTAGTGAAAATTCACCAAGTAAACACGACATGAAAAAAAAAATGCAGACATGTTCAAGATGTCTTTTGCTTGAATGGAAGATAAACAATAATCATGAAGTACATTGACCAAAACCTAGTTTCTAAATTCTAGTACTATACATCAAGCTTCAAAAAAGTTGATACATAAACGCATGCACTTTAATCTTCGGGTTGATTCACACTTGGATTTACCTAAGATGACTTTTTGGTAGCTAATCATGGTATCAGAAGAGGAAAAATCTTCAACTTGTTTGTATTCCAAACATACTCTCACAAATTCTCCACTCATCATTCATTTACAAACACTCTAAAAGAAATATTGTATTTCAGCTTTATATTGATAAAACAATTCTTCACACAATTTACTTTCCAAACTTGCTCTAGAGATTATTCTTTACCTCTCTTTATAATACTTAAAAAATTATCATAGTAACACATGATTTATATCATAATGATTAATATGCAGGTAAATATCACACATGATTAATATCATTACTTATCATTCCATACTACACATGTAACAACAAGATAGTGTATTTTAGACTATTGTGTAGTCTAGTTTATCCACTAATTTTTTTCCCTCATATAGCTTTGAAAAAGTTTCATTGTTAGATTTAGTTGGACCCAAATGTGATACTTTTTTGTGAGTTGTTGGTAGAAAAACATTATACAAAGAAAACGATAAATCAATTAAGAAAAAAATTAAAAATTTCTTAACGTTGCCAATGTGAATATCATGAAATCTTGTATGTCTTGGATTCAAAAATTTGAATAGGAACCTCAATCTTATTGGAAAGTAAATTACATGAAAGAAGTGCTAAAAATACAACTATGCACTAGGGTGTATTTTTGGATTTTAAACACAATTCGGGTCACTTCATCTTCGATGGTACATTATCGACGTGTGGTCTGAGAATCTTCCACATGCAAAAACAAGAAATCGGAAATATCTGTCATCCAAACTATAGATTACTATGCTGTTGTGGATCTTGGTTCGAGTTACGACCTGTAAATCTTGTTGGTGTCTTATACACAATTTTACACCACTCAACTACCATTATGATCGATGAAGGGGGAAAAAAAAAGTTGCCTCGATACGCTTGAATGGTCTTTTGAAAAGATTATTTTATTCATAGAAATTTCATAGTATATATTGACACAATAGATTTGATATGAACGACAAAAAAAATTCATTAATTTTAGGTTATCTCAATTGATATAAAATTTGGTCTCAATTTTAATATTGCGATAAATATATATTATTAAAGCTAGTTGGAAAGAATAAGAAATAATTGGTCTTCATATTGGTAATTGCCAATATGCAGAAATCAAACTTACTTTTCTAAATACCCCGCAGTTTGCCCAATATCATATCCAAAATTGGGTTTGAAAATGTGATTTAGAAACAAGATTTCGTAACATGATGGTGAGCAGATGCCCTTAAGGGTGCCTTCGCGTCGAGCTATGGTTGCAACTCATGCTCGTAGCTGAAAGTAGTAGAAACTTTTCTGGCACATGGGAGTATGTATTGTCAAATGTATTCAATCTTATAAATCTCAACGAACTCATCATAACCGCAGGGATGAGATAGAATCTCGAAAGTAGGGAGGAAGGTCAGCTCAGACGTTGCATGTCCAACCTATTTACTCTCGTCACTTTGGACAACAGGAGGGAAGAGTGTTTTGACCTAGTTACTTCAGTCCTCGGCTCCTTGTGATTTTATGGTCTTTGTTTTGTATTTTGATCCATGCTTCTTCTTCTGACTCTGGACAATACTCATGATAGTTTCCTACGGCCTGTACACGTCCATTCCAAGGCTCCAACAGTAATGAATATAAATGCGCCCAAAACATACCCTTCCACAGAACCCTAGGTTTGTTTTGTTTATTGTGTAGAACGATCCAGAAACAATAACCACATAAGTTGCCAGTTCTCTGACGTCCGTTCTCTGCACCATGTAGGTTCATCTGAGTTTTATTGCAAAGTTCCCGGCTAAGAACCTGGTTCTTGGCGAAAACTAAGAAAAGTCTCGGTGCCCTTGTTCTTCTGGCAAAAACTTAGTTGCAGGTTGATATCATCCACAGATATTAGAAGAATCTGCCCCCGTTTCTCTAGGATCTTATCATGAGCTCACACCTTTGACTTGTCGTGGACACCAACATCCTGAAATTCAAGTTCAAGGTGGATTCAATGATTAAGTAATCCTATATTCTCAGTTGCGCTCAGCTTGTAAGATGTAACTCCCGAAAGTCATGACACATATGATCCAAAAGTTTCATCGAAAGGCGTGCGAATTTGGTAAACTATATAACTGGCACCCCACTCCTATGGACAGGAATTTCCATGGATATCCGTGCACAGCCACGATCATCGTTGTAACATAGTCATTGGCCTCAGTTCCCTGCTGGTAATCATTAATTCTAGACACGACAAATTTATTTACTTTTTTCCAATCGGCAGCTTTCATAACCTTTTCTGCGCTAAGGGGCCTACTTTTTGAGATTGCTAGATTCTACAGACAAATCCTGATTACGGAGTTTCGGACTAAGCAGGACAATCTACTTGTAACAGACAATCTATCTCATGGGACCCGCTGTATCTTCATCAGGGTAACATTCGGTTGTGCTTAGTGTAATTACAGTCCCAGAGTCCATACACAATACTGTAAAGTACAGTTCGTTGATATTGACGTGGTATCCAAGTAGACCACTAAGGAATGCCATCCTGTCAGGCCTATAAACGTTGAACTTCTGTCCACGACTAATCCTTTCTGCGGCGAGAAACTGATTATCTTGCAACAACCGATATCATCTTTCACCACATGCAACTTTGCTACGGTGTATCCATCCACCCGACTTTGACGATAAGGTCATGAATAATAACCATTCGCATGACGTGAAAGCAATTTGTAATCTAATTTCTTTGAATAAGTAGATTAAAAGCTAAGATTTTTATTCACTTTTTAGCTCAAATTGAAATCCATCATATCTTCTGAATAATTCATTTTTATGAGATTTTCTAAGTATTTATCGATGAAATATGATAAATCTTACGATGATATGATACATACAGTAATATTTTTCTGGACATGATGAAAAAATTTAGATTTAAATATATGAAGATTTCAATTCCTCATCATTTCAAATTTTTTCTTCACATATTTTAAATTTAAATTTAAATTATTCTATTTTTGAAAAAGTAATTAGATGATTTCAAAATGATAATTATTCACGATTCAAATGTTGTTACTTTATACATATGTTTCACAACAAATATGTGATATGATGTTACGTCAAGCATTTCAATACACAGATACATAAATTTAATAATCGTTAAGAATTATATCACAAGAAGTCACGATAGTGAACAGAAATTTCAAGAATGAGAAAAAATAGTTAAAAATTTCATTAAAATTTATATCACTACCTGATTCTAGAGTAAGTATATATATATATATATATATATATTTTATTTATGTTTAGATCTTAAATCTTATACACCAAATCCATTTAAGACTTGTTGTAGTGGTAGAAGATTGCATGTTTTTTATTATAAAATGTCAAATCAATTATTATTGCATGCAAGTAACATCCAGTGATTTAGAATTTAAATAAATTGTATTTAATGGCTAAAATTTATGGATAAAATATGATAAGATATGGCTAAAATTAAGACTTAAATGGCTTTATGTTATATATCAAATTTGACACATTCGTTTACTAATTGGATATGTAATATAAAAAAGATAGATGCCTCAATTTTCTAAGCATCATAATTCTCCATGCGTGCTTTGAAACTGACAACATGTCAAATTGAATATAATAAATAATTTATGTAGAGAAACAATGTAACTCCATATTTCTTACATGGATTTGCACAAATTCCATTTTCTTAGGGGGAAAGTCACAATCAGGCCCATTCCTCTTTATGAAATGAAAGAAGCAAACCGACGAATGAACTCATTCTTGCGTGGATACGCCAATTGGTATCAGTTTGCCGGAAACAAACGCAAACTTACGCTTTATGGTTGGAGCGCGCGACTAAAGATTAAACAATCTACCTACCTACATATACCATAATTGTATATTTTCAAAGAAACTTATATTAAACACAAAATATTTGAATTTCTTAGATCTTAAGTATATATTCGATAATTCCGCCCTATCGTCCAACATCTTTTATTTGGATGCCTCTTGACTGTGCGATCTCTCACAACACTTTATCTAAGTGCATTTTGTAATAAATTTATATTGTTAGATTGTTGGTCTTCACACCTCACTACGTGATACCTACCACGGTAGCATACTCTAATATACACCGATAAGATTACGTACATGATTGAGAAGTAGAAGTGCGATTCCACTATTTCAAGTACACCTCAGTGGTGTACAATTTTGAAAAATTTAATTCATTTGAATCTTGTTATTGATGTGCTCTGAACAAACACACTAGAACATGTCCTTGATGATTTTCTTTGATGAAACAACCAGACCAAGTTAAAAAGAAAGTGTAGAGTCAAAGATAATGGTTCGAACTTACACAACCAAGGAAGACTCTATATGAGTAGTTTCAACTTTTTTAACGATTTGTAACAACATACCTTGCATCTAGAATCTCAAAAATTAAATTCTCAACTTTCTACTTTTATTTATTTATTTCTCTTTTTAATTTAAAATGATCTGAAGATTATTATTTGAAAGAAAATGGTAGGGCGGAAACCTCTCATTATGAGATTGTTAGAAAAGTGCATATGTCTTGTTTACACCACTTGGGATTGAGACTTATTACGTATGTACGCTAAATACGGAATAATTTGGCGAGGTATTATACGGCGCTACCTTATAAATCTGGAGGGTCGAGATCACTCTTATCCCTCCAACACGAGACCTCATTATTGCAGTCTTTCACATTCTTCGTTTCAATTGCTAAATATAAATTTCACTTTCCATTTAAAAGAAAAAGTCTTCCGGAGCCATGGTTGACTCCCGAGGCTTTCACCTTGTGATTCAATATCGAACCCAAGTTTTCAGGAAACTCCTGGAATTCTTTCACTGTTCGAGCAATGATTATTTGAAACTTTAAAATACGAAAGTCCAGACTTTTGTGCAGCAGGGGTTGGTCTAATATGGCCTGCCATTTTCACTGTTCAAAAAACTATCCTAGAGTATGAGTACTTCATTGCTTTGGGCTGCGCAACATCGGAATACCCAGGACAAGCCTGATAAGATTCAGGGCAACAGGGGCCAAGTGTTAGAGGCCCTTCAGTACGAGGAGAGTGTAACAACATGTTCCTTTCCTCCGCCGTTTATTACATTGCCGATTTCGCGAGCATGTTGTTGGAGTATATATCCCGTACAATAACGGCCTTCCTTTTCATCATTATTCGATCTTATCCCTACGCAAAGGAGCCATGAACCCGCTTTGCTCTGCCAACAATGGTCCCATGCGCATCATGATTGACGCAAGCTGACATGAAGAATCCTGCAGACATCTGAAGCTGAGGGACATACAGCTTGTGACAATCGTATCTTCCGTCCGGAAAAGATTTATCAATTGTGTTAAAGACATACTGGTGACCAGCCAGGCCAGGGCCGTGCATTTTCACGGGTGTTACGAAAATCGCTTTTGTGAAGGCTTTGGTTGCATTCGGAGTGTTACCAGGTGTGGTCAGATAGATTGAGTTAAAACTTAAGATGTGGGCCATACGTCAAGTTAGATTGTGTACTCGGTAATGTGATTCTCCGAGGGAGTAAGATGAGAAATCTAGTTCAAGATCAAACAATTTAGGACTCGAGGATTTAAGGAGTTATAGGTAAAATTGCGAGTAGGGTACCCCAATCCATTATCATTGGTAGTAGTATCGAGTCAAATATGGGGGATAAGCCATGACAGTGGACCACATGGAAGAGTGCACATCCTTGTGATTCGAAGGTACGAATAATGTGTGAAATGATGAATATAGAAAAAGTAATGAACAAGGTACGCATGTATGTCGATGGATTTCAATTTACATTCTTTGACAAAATTGAAAACCCGAGAAATGCAAATCATCGAACTGAATCCATCCTCGTTCGATGTAAAGGCAATGTTGGGTTCACACATGAAACTAATTCCGGCTGGCTGAAATGTGACAAAGTACAGAGGCAAGCTTTCATACAAATGTTCTCCTCAAAGCGAGCTACCTGCCAATGGGTTTGTGGCAGCTTTCGTATGGCAGAACACAGTACGCATGGTGCAGGAGTATGCCTATGGCCCCACCCATGACTACTTTTGAATTCTACTACTATTGCTTTCTAAACATAACTGTGATATGAGGAGACTGATGCAATGCTTGCTTTCCCGTTCACTCGACTTTGCGGCAGCTTGGGCGGGTCAGTCAAGTGCTAACGTCACGAATAAAGACATTGCAGCACTTAGTACTGTTTCAAAGTTCCAGTTCCTAAATTGTTGTAAGCAGCACCCAATCGATCCTCATTCATATAGAAATTTACTTCCGATGGTGATAAAATGCGAATTCCGCGTACCGAGCTCACGAACTCGCTGAAACAGGACACCCGCAAGCATAGTCAGTTAGAAGATTTTTAGTGCTGACTAGCGCGAAGAATCTGCCTGGTGAACAAAGCGGTGAGAAATGTGAGAAGAATCACGAGGTAATCTTCAAGAACTCTTGAAACCGTAAAACAAACTACGGTAAGTAAGTAGCTGTTCAATAGGGCGTAACATGCTCCAATTTCAGACATTATGAAACAAACAGCGAAGTGCAGCATACTCACTCCCAGGGATCATCGCCTACAAGAAGGATGTCGTTTTCGTTGTCACGAAAGACCAGTTGCCACCCTGACCGCTGATCCAGTTGTCCTTCCAAGTTGAACATCCGTGCGAGTTCACACCGAAGTTCGTCGTAATTGCTGAATCGGGTTACATCCAATGCTCTGCCTATAGAACCTAGTTTGTAAACCTGCATAAGTAGGAGGAAAAATAAACTTTTCAGAAGCTCATGAACATTTAATGCTTGTGGACTTCTACCATTTAAGAGTTGATGCTTCACATCTGTTGTCACGAACTCATCAATACATTACGGTACCTATTTCGCTTTCTTGACAGAAGACTCTTGTAGAGATTATTCGTCAAGAGCAGTTGCAGTAATAAAAAGGCGTGTGATCCTGTCTCTTGACTTTCATCATTATACAAACTTAGCTCGACATTGAACTTTTATCCCTAGAACAACTGGTTTCAAGAGGAAATAAATCCGAAGTATGCACAACCATGGAACTTCGTCAAACCTAAGCCTTTTTTTCTAGACTAGGCCAAAACTAGGATAAACGTGTTTGTAAAGTTCAGCAAAGTAACAAGTACTGCTTCTGCTCATATCTTGACCTGCACTGATTTCTCCAGTTGAGATTTTAAAAACAGGAGACAATTTCCAACGTAAAGAAGTAACTGGAAATGGTTTAGAATCATAGACTCTCAACAATAGCTGTTTCGAACATTCTGATATTTGTAATCAGTGAGAAATGAACACATATAAAGATATGTCATCCTGTAGTGATTCCAGCAGGAAAAAATGTGACATTTTAGACAATTCAGACAGTGTATCATACCTTAGTGTAGGTCCTCAAAGGTTTTGGTGGAGGAGCACGTTGGATGAAGCAATTTTCGTCGGGCAGATTCACGGGACAATTTCCCACAATAGCGGGTTGAAGAAGGAGATCTGCTCCACTACTTGACGGGCAATAAGGTCCAGGTTGGAGCATCCGCCGTCCAGTAAAGTCGTTCTGAAACACAGGTTTGCTATTGTTGAGCCTTGGCATACTAGAAGAACCACCTTTAGGACCAATTACAGAAGAAGATGAAGATCCCGACACCCCATATGGCAATGGGCTTTGAGGATCCCCCAATATTTGCTCCTGGTCAACAGGACCATCCCTGAATGCCCCAGAAGGACATGCTTGGTATGGTAATGCCGTGAGACCACCCTGAGTTGTCAGATCGCTCAAAGCTGGGGAAGAGTAGAGGGATACATTTTTCCCATTCGAAAGGTTTTGCCCGTTAGAAAGGTTCTGCCCATTGGAAAGACTAGCTCGTCCAAGGCGAGAGCTAGATGTGGGTTGCGTTTCCAGCTCCCGCATTGATGAATACCACGCAGCAGACGCCTGTAGCTCTTGTAAAACCAAACTATTTGACGTTCCCGATAGACCTGATTGCGACTGTTGTATCACAGTACTTTGACTGGAACCAAGCATGTTCGAATAGCGATCTTCGTCAGATTCAGGCAGCAATGTGCTGCCCTGAGGCAGTCTCTGTGGCAAGACGCTTTGTAGAGGGTAGGGATTGGAGGAAGAAGAAGTAGGAGAATGTCGTAAATCTGATTCAGCAAAAATTGGAGGAGGCCTGAATGAGAGAGGCAAGGGAGGAAGGCTGTTGACCGCTCGACTCGAGTTTGCCAAGTCTAGATACGGCATGTGCATTTGCATTTGCTCCGCTTCCAATTGCTGATGCTGATACTTGAGAGGCTGGACACCGTTAGCAAGCTGGTTTGTATGCTGAGATGACTGTTGAAGCTGCTGCTGATGCTGCAGCTGTTGTTGCTGCAACTGCTGCTGTTGTTGCAATTGTTGTTGTTGTTGTTGTTGTTGTTGTTGATGCTGCTGCTGCTGTTGTTGTTGTTGTTGTTGCTGTTGCTGTTGCTGCTGATGTTGTTGTTGATGTTGTTGTGGTTGAGACGATGCTAAAGTCTGTGGAGTTTGACAGGGATGCATAATCTGCTTAGAAGATTCAATGTTACGCATGTCGTGCAAACTAGCTACTGTCATAGCTCGCTGCTGTAAATTCATAGGAGTATTGAGAGGAGTTGTCGGTGCTGCAGGTTCTAATTTCTGCTGCTGTAGTCGCATCCAGTGATCCGCACTCATAGGACGATAATCAAGAGCTTGGTTTAGGTTGTCCTTCTCCACATTGTCATCTGCCCGGCCTGGAATCCAACGTCTAGAAATTTTATGACTCTCGTGAATCACTTCTTCTTCCCCGGAGTAAACATCTTTTCTCCTCTTTCCCTGGAAAAACGAATCTACCATTAGAAATTTGGACGTTAGGACAAATTTTGTAGCCCATTCAAGCCCGTAAATTTTCCCAGCCCGCAAGAATTCCAAGTTTGCAACCTATCTAGTTGTTTTCAGGGGAAAACGATTTGAATTCATAGCTCCACATTTGTGTGGTTGAAGCTCAACGTACTGTCTCGGATTGGACAGCAAACTTTAAGAACAATAAGCATGCTCATACTGAGATATCAATTCTCGAATGAACACTCAAGACAGAGCTATAAAGAAATCGTTTTAATCAAGATGTCCATGGATGGACACGAGGGAACTAAGATAGTAACTTTCAATCTGCAAGAAACCGTAAATGCCGCCTATTGTGCTTGCGAGGGGCTCAAGCAGTTGTGCAACAAGGATCGATGCAACTGCTGGCTTATTCACAACATCCTCGTTTCCAACCCACACATGCTTTTTAACCAGGAAGCCAGGTCTATCTGTAGAGAGCTAATCGTAGGAATGGGAACGGGTTCCAAACGCGGAAAATTAGAGACGGGATGAAAGTGTTCGGCGCGTCACAAGCAGATAAATTTCATATCAGCAGCACTGAGAGAGAGAAGCTATGTGTCCAACTGCAACTGTAAGAACGAGCTAGGTTCGTTTTAAACAGAGCGGCATCTGATCCAAAAGCTCTGTGATTGCTGACCGGATGCAAAGTCAAGACGTGGACTCAAACTGTCCTATAAATTACATACACTACATCCCACATGAAAATCAAGGTTATTTTATCGGGTTTAACTAGAGAAGGACTAGGTCGGCTCATTTAGCAAACAAGATAACGGATCTCCAAGCGCATGCATCCAGTAATACATCGTCTAAAGTATTAGTTGTTTGACGGTACCGCAAAAGGTTGCTTCCGCAATTCGGATCAACAATGACAACTCCAATGTGACCTGACAAATGGTCCTGAATAAGTTCAACATGATGTATGTCCGTACAGTGAAAATGCGAACAAAAAGGCTGACCAAAAGGAGCAACTTACTCCAGAGAGGCGGTTTTGAAGTCCTGTGGGATCCATGACACCTGCTGTAACTCGCCAGTTTTGATCAGCGAGACTGTCTCCTTGACCAGCCGTAGGGCAATGATGTTTCGGAGGGCACTAAACTTGAGCGCCAAGCTTTAGGAGACCTTCGAGTTTTGCCTGACTTCCGCATCTCGAATGCAACGTGTATAGAAGAATCAGCAGACGCAGAGAGCGACTAGATCATAAACCAAGTTCATTTCGAATCCAAAATCTACTCCTGGAGGACAATAGCCATCCTCATGTAGCGCAGCTGCAGCTGCAGCGCCAGCCCTGCTCTCAGCCTCCTCCCTTGTCAGAACAGTAACGAAAGCGTACTCAAATCCGTGGGCTCAGGGCGTGAACTATCAGAGAACGAAAACGGTCACCACCTTTAGTAAATGGAGAACTACGATGAGGGTGGATGAGGTGGGGCGGGTTGTGGTGCGTGGCACATTGCGCACTTCCGGTGCAAATAACCGCAGAGAAAGCTTGTGAGTAACATGTCAGTGTCTTCGTGAGCACCATACCAAGGACTGTCCTCCTTTCCCTGTCTCTCCACTTCCGAAGCCTGCCAGATGTTCACCTTCTCCACAAGCAACGCACTACGCCGAGCCAGCCCCACAGTCTTCGAGCTCCGACTTCCTATCTGTCCTGATATGACTTGGTTTCAACTCGAACACGACCCGCAGTGCATTCACTAAACAGAGAAGGCAGTCATCATCGTTCAGCCCAATCCAATCCGGTCAAGATTAAAACAACCAACACTGCTCGTTGCCACTCTACTGCCCTCTCTCTTTCTGTATCTGTCTGTGTGTGCGCTCAACGACTCAAGTCGCCATCCTTCTCCGCCCCTGTCCAACCTCTCGGCCCGCTTCACCACTCCACTCGTTCACTTCGCTGCCAGTCAAAAGTGTCTCCGCGCACCTTTCTCCCTGTCCCCCATTCTTTCCCTCGTCTCGAGCTCGAGCTCTGTCCGGGCTCGTCTCAGGCTTGCGCTGTGTAGCTTAGCTCCGTGGCATTCTCCATCTTCCGTGGCCGCACAAACAGACACAGACTCAAGGGGTACTCGAGTGCGAGCAGTCACAGTAGAATTGAGGAAAGGAAGTGGCGTTGAGTAGTATCGTATGCATTCGAGTGTTTCATAGCTTAGCTTGCCATCAGTGGCTGGCCAGTTCACATGGCACAAGAGCACCTACGATTGCTGCGCTGCCTACCGTCCCGTTCTGCCTCTGGGATTTGACTTCTCCATCTTCTTTCAGGTTTGATGCTGCGCCTGCTTCTTCTGGGCACGCAACATCCAGACAGACGGACAGCCAGCCAGCGAGCCCAGCCCAACCCAACCAGCCGCCCTCCTGCACTCGCGGTGATCTCCATAACTCATCGCCTTTCAATTGCCAATCTCGTCACTTCTCCCCTCCTCTACTTTGGCCTGCAAGATATTGCTGCTATATCTAGCAGTCCTCTGCCCTTGCCTCGCCTCCCTCTGTCCGGCTGTCTGGGCTAATTCGGACTCTCCCTCAAATATTGAAAATCTTTTACGACTGATCGACAAAATCGGTCCTTTTTATCGGCGACCACAGACTCCGATCGGCACCATCGACATCTCTCGCCGTTCCTTGTCTCTCGCGGAGGACGAATATTGCGGGTCGGGAGGTCCTCCCCTTCTCCCTCTCTTTCTCTTTTGCCTTCCCTCCCTCGCAGCCCTCTGCTGTCCTCCACTTTCCGTATCCTACAGCCAATTCTGGAGACAAATCTCTTTACTTCATATTTGTCCCTATGTACACCTGGCATCCGACGTGTGTTCTTAACTCTTGTCGCCTGCGGACTACCGGCTCAGTCCGTTCCGACTTTCTCATTGGCCCTCGGTTAGATGCTTTCTCCTGCTGCTCTTTTCCTCCTCTACTACCATGCGGTCTGTTGACCGTATTTATCAAACCCACCTCCTATATCCGTGTGGCATACATGTATGTATGCGAATATATTTATGCATGCATGGCAGGTACATTGCATGAAACCATGCTAGCGAGCTGAAATACCACGTGACATGGCCTCTTGGTCTGCCACCATCATCGGATGAGTTTCATCGGATGACACCAAATGCACAATGATGACGATCTGGATGACTCATGAGTGTATGGGGTCATATGTCCATGACAGGTTATCCATCTACGGCCGAAAGGCCGTATGATCACATATGGCGAATGGCGAGAAAGAACGTCCATTAATGCGTTTTCCTTGCGAACATTCTTCATTCAATTTCCATTCTCTTTTCCTATTGTTTACCTCCTACTTTCTTTTACTTCTTCTTTTCGATTTTTCTAATATTTACTGGGTTCTCCTCTTTTTCTTATATAATTGATTTGTCTTGAACGGTTTTATTGGAGGGAATGCTGTTGTATGGTCAGTGTCTCCCTCCTTACAAGAACTCTGCAGTGTGGACTGTAATAGGCCGTTTCGAATCTTATCAGACGCTCAACTTTCTTCACATGCTCCGGGACCGAAAGCTTTCCGTACTTACACTTGATTGAAGACCTAATCAAATCACGTACAGTATACCCCATTAGCTGGAGCTGCAGGACTCGAGCCAGAAGGAATTTAGGCGTGGATGTACGAGTGTCATGAGACAGAATGGGCGCAATGAGTAGGTCTTTGTGTTGTCATCATCCTTCTATCGGACTTCTTACTAACCTCTCGAGGCACAAAATTTCAGTCTTCGTTGCATGATATATTCAATCGGCTTCTACTAGCTGGTAATGTTCATAGTCGAGGTTTTGCATGTGGTCGTCGAGAATCCTTACTTCCTCCTACTGCTCCTCAAGCTCTGCGCAAGACATGGTTTGAATCTCCTGAGGAATGTATTATGATTTACCAGAAGCTTGTCGAAATGATAACATCTATCATTGACTACCACCATAACTCGCTATTGTTCTTTACGACACACTGATTACATGTATCCCTGACAGGGTAACTCCTATGTTGACTGTCTAATGTTGTAACTTTGTCTACATGATTTCTATATTGTTTTACTTTCCTTGCCTCTACGAATTCTTAATCTCCAGTTATTTGGTGTTTCAGCTTCGAGCCGCATCGCTGCACGACCTCAACAACAACAAAAGCTATTCAAATTTGCATCCTATAGAGAAATTGTTTTAGCACATTTGTAGCAGCCTTACCGTCCACGCTTAACTGCTGAATATTCCTTCTACCCCTAAAATCATGCTTCATTAGTTTTTCTTATCCGCCTGAGAAAGGGGCATCGCTAACATCATCACGGTATGAGTGACATGATTACGGTACGGCACTGGAAAGATTTAGGTCTCACGCAAAGATAGCGCAGTATCTCATGTATAGACACTATACAGCTTGAGCCTTAAACAACAGGAATGGAAGGTCTTTTCAATACGTCCTTCAATTTACTGTACCATGGGTAGCAACCACTGTGGAAACTCTCGTCCTGTCATCAGAGGAGATATGAAGTCCAAAGCAGTTTCTAAAAAGACTCGCAGATCATTCGTTAGAACCAGTAAAGGGGCGAACCAAATATATAACAAAAAGGATGGGAAGACCACATCAAGTCGTACAGGGATCATTCGTTGGAACATTTGTCGTATCATCCAAGGAAAGTTTTGTCACGTCGATGTAAATGTAATTCGCTTTTTAGCAAACACATCTTGTCATCTGAGGCCTATCTTGAAGGATCCTTGCTCTTTTCGTGGGTCCACTACCCATTCCTTTCGGTTGCGAATGCCACATGTCAGACCGAGCCACTTCGCAGATCGTGTTAAAATTGCCATGGATGACCATTACCAGACATGACAGTGGCGTTGGTTCCGCTCGTTTGTAAGAAAACCTGAACATGAAACACTCAGACAATGAGAGAAACCCAGTTGGCCAGAATTAAGATAGTAATCAGATTCAATGCTGACCGGATTAAACGCTGCACTTAACACCAGCATGTAACTTGGTTTACCTGAACCGTGCATCTGCACGAGTCAACCTAGCCCTTAAGCTTTAAGTTCTCTAGAAGTTCATAAAATGTCCACTTGTACGATGTTTGATTGACCGAAGTGTTCAAAAATCAGTAGACATCACATCATCGTCAGTCCAATCTATGCCCTTCTACACAAAATTATGAGTATAAAATCATGGCTCTTCTCCCCCAATATTTTTTTGGGTTTCAGTTGATGTTCAGTTTGATTAGATGAACAAAGAAATTAATATAAGCATTCTGGACAAATGTGAGAGCAATAGTCAGCTGCTAGTGTCGGAAAAAAAACGGAGTTATTGAACCTGAACCGTAAGAGAACTGCCGTTTGCAAGATACTAGGAGTGAGAAATGGTATAAGTTTTCGACATGATATGAGAACATGCTATTCGAAGTTTCGTACATGGAGACATACTAGTGTCACATGTACCTGTAGGTCCTTCGATTTCCAAAAAGAAAAATCCTCGTAAATATTGGATCGCGCCGAGCACCCTACACAACTATGGCCCTATTTTAAGAATCGAAGAAAGGTCAGATCCTCTCGTCCACTGAGGGCACTGTAGTCTATGTAGCCGGTCTTTTATCCATCCCAGTCTCCCACGCTCCCAGTAGATCATGATGAGAGGCTTCTTCTCTTATTTATTTGCTTCTTCCATACGCCAGGGCAGCGACAACGCGACATAACACCCAACGGAAGAAGGCGAAGAAGCTCTTCAATGAGCCTGCAACCTGCGAGATTCAAGATGGATTGTTGACTAAACACATTTAGTAGATACACAGAAAGCTTTTTGCCTTTGACCAGATCAGACAAACTGGTAGATCAGATTGCAAACTGTTGCCTCCGATCCTGGTAGCATTGCTACTCGCTTTCCGACTTCCCAGATTCAGAGAACTCATGCCCTCTTTACTGCAGGTAGAGGGAGTGACAAGCAGTCCTATGCTCGACGATCCTAAATAAAATGGAAGACAAGAGCGTTCATGTATGAGATACAAACGTCAAAGCTCAATTTCAGATTTGGCTTATTTCCTATGTGCACATCGCGGGTTCTCATTGTACAACGCTAGTAAAGATTACGGATGAATTCAAATCATTCTGGAAAGGACAGATATTCAAGCAGAATTTTTAAGGATGATTCACATGGATAAAAAAAAGTGCGTAATCGTTAACTGCTTTGAACTAATGATTGAGGTTATTTTCTACTCACCTATCCACGTCCCTATTACACTTATGAACACACGTGAAATTTGGGTAGATTAAGAGATGTTTTGAATAATTCTAAAAGTACATTCATGGAAAAGTTGTAAGGATGATTCACATGGATGAAAAAATTGCGTAATCATTAACTGGTTTGAAAAAAAGGTTGTGAGGCTATTTACTCACCTATCGATGTCCCTATTACACTCATGAAACCACTTAAAATTTGGGCTTAGGGTGATGGGATGATTTTTTTTAGTTGAATCACTATCGGTGTACTGATAATAAATCTTAGCATCAAAGTTGAAGTAATCTTGACTTTTACCAAGGACTGTGTGAAGCAATCACTTATTCACACATGAAAAGTGTGTAACACTTCAAAAAATAAACCTTTCTACATCAAAACACTTACTTTACATCTTAATAAATGTAAATAAATGCAACTTCATCACACATGATTGTGACTTCTAACATGTAAAGATTGTTGTGCTTGTGCACTATTATCATAAAATTATTACCTTATCACCTCAAACACAACGTTTCTAGATTTAAAACCTTCAGAATCTAACATTCCAAGAAAAATCAACTTTTTTTCCATATCAAGTAAACGTCTGACTTTAGTCTACGTAAGTTGAATTCAATCCAACATTTAGATCTTAACAGATCCAATACTATAAGGTAGATGATTTTTTGTAACAACTTAACCGTGTGTTATTGAGAAAGTACAATGGGACTCTTGAATGTAACAAAGATTTGACCTCCAAAACTATTTATTTTTTCTGCTTATTAAATCTGTTGCTTCAACCTCCAACTTAAATATGCATTCATGAACTCTTCTGATGATTCTTGGACATCATCAATGCATGACCCTGCAATTCTCAATTCATTCTCAAAATGCTCTTTTGCTCTGCATTCTTTAGACTTTTTCATCCAACAAAGATTAAGTTTTGCTCTCCATTTACAAATGATGTGACATACTCTTGACCTTTTTCTTTGCACCTTTGGTTCAACTTGCAAGCCAACAACGGTACTTCAAGGGCATTTAGCTTAATGATAAGATCATAATTATCTTCTTGCAAACCAGAGATCACATTCTTGTCGTTGATGAATCTCTCAAATGACTATCTAGCATAAATCATAGTCATAGCCAAAAATTCTTTGACAAAAGGAATTGATCCTTTGCTCATTTACTCTAGAGCAATATCATTCTTCTTGCCATTGGTAT